TTTTTTTTATTATTCGATGTCGAAACTTTCCGTAATAGTCGTAACTCCTTCACGGGGAAAGGCCTCCTCCAGCTTTTTCCAAATATGTGTCCATGGCTTTCTTTCTCCATTCTCTTCCTGCTACCGCTTCTTTGTCTTCTAACCACCTTTCTGGGGCGCCCCTTCTCCTTTTTCGTCTTTAAAGTCCATGATAATTGAAATAAAGTACTTATATTTGTAAAATTTTCCTCCGTTGAACGCGCTTGATAATTATCAGTATGACATAATATCTCGATACGATGATCCGTGTACTTAACATATCTATGCTATTCAATCTTATATCTATTGCGACGCTATGTAGTTTTAGTATTCCATTTCATTTTGTATTTAATTTACTAATTAAATACTTAAGACTATTGCGCAAACTTCCTTTCTCTAGATTTCAAAATTCCATACTTTATTACATTACTGCTATTAATTTTAGCTTAATTATAAGTGAAGGAAATATTAATTACAAATTAAAGTTAACTAATTATTGCTTAAAGTCTTGAGTTGGTTTAAGATTATTCTAGAATCGTGTTATTTGTTTATTCACATTTGAATTGTCGTAATCTTAGGCTTATCATTAAGATAAAAAAATACTTACAACGAAATATAGAAGAATTCGAAGAACTTTTTCTTTTTTTTTTTTAATAGAGGGCATCGTGCAATCAGTCTTCTGACTATGAGCAGATGAGTTGTAGGATGATTGTGATATGATGAGTTCTAATGAATTCGAAGAACTAACATTAGAAAAGAATGGAAGCAGCGGGAAGAGGCCTATGTGTTAGGTCACGCTGTTAACCAAAACTGGCTCATCTGATGTATTAGATTATGTTAGGTTATGTGACTTAAACAAGTGTTTATATATTATAGTTGGTGTCAGAATAAACAATGTTAAAATAGTTATACTTATATCGTCCATATATATGTTCTGTTCTATATAAGAAACAATGGACTGGTAGGTATACATGTAAAAGTTTTAACACTTAGACAGTGCGAGAGACAGTCTCATTTATCACGGGAGAAGTGTCACTCGAGATGTACATTATTCTATGTTCACATGAATTCAGACAGTACCAAAACACTCGCGAGTAATATTAGAAGAGGGTAGAGGGCATTTGAAACAGTTTTATATGTGAATAAGTGAAAATGTTTAGTATCTATGGGCCTAGAAATTATATGTGAAAAAATCCTACAAAATAAATAGTATCTATACCTGGCCCCGAACAGGGAAAAACCAATCAGGGAAAATTTTACATTTTGACGATAATTTCACCACATTCTGTTATATACTGGAATAAAAGAAAATAAATGAAACAAGTATATTTTGTTTAAAAAAAAATTGTTAATGCAACGTTAAAATACAAACTAAATTAATATTGCAAATTTCATTTTTAACCAAAGAATTTAATTGTAATTGTCCATAGTAGATAACTTCTCGAGATAGGCTTTTTGATTATCATTATTACGTTGTATAGATGCAAACTTCCTTTATAATTTCGATTTCTAATACTATATCTATGAGACGGAACATTGACCCTTGGCTGGATTAATATTGTGAGCACAATTCTGTCACCGACACTCGCCTTGGAAAGCTGCCAATAGATAAATGATAATTTTACGAATGTTCATAGCTATTATTTATCGCCACTTGGGAAAATAATAGTTTCATGCATTTACCCATCATGGAGCCTATACAAAAGCCCACATTTTAGTAGATGTTACCAATCGTTGTCGAAACAATAACTGTTTCAACGGGATTGTCGGGATTTTTCGACATACAAATAAGTTATTTCGCAATAATATTTGAATACTACTTTTATTACTAAAATACGTTATATTTTGTTTTTTTTATTGCGAACAGAGAGAGGCGATGGTAAGACTGTAACAGCTAATACAAATTACCTTTTGTGTGGTAGAATCGCTAATATATGCTTTTTTATTTAATTCGTCATAAATATATTTATTTTATGTAATATGGTGAAGTATGTTTTAACATTGTGTATAAAATTTTGTAAGGTGATCCGGAGATTTATTTTAGTTTTAATTCAATTGTAGCCGCAAATTAGTATTTAAATAATGTTTATAGTGCTTTACATCAATCGTGGTAAAGTGGATCTGAAAGAAAGAAAGAAAATAAATAAATGATCTTTATTAAACATAATAAATAAAAAGGGATTTATAGATAATAGAGAAAGTGCACTAGGATTCCCTGTGTCGTGCCTATCTAGAGATTATATCTGTCTATAAGACTATCTAAACTTAGCGCGACCTATGTCAAAATCCATACATTTTTGACGTACTTCCAGGAGTCCAACTTAGCGTTAAGTCTTGTTTATGAATCTTTCCTTCCATAACAACACCTAAACATAACAATCAAATATACAGTATGTATTTACAATTTTCTTAACCTAGGTACATCTCGTATAAATAATTTTAAAAAATCTTAAAACAAATTTAACAAGTTTGGTCCCTGTAGCAGTACCCTTATACCTTTAATTGCAATACTTATTCGTTGAGCGGGGAAAGCACCAGCTCGGGTCACCGGTACTATCTACCTGGTAGTAGATTCTACCAGGATCCAACTTAATCTTGAATTAGCGCCTGTGCAAAAAAACCAAACATTTTTTAAATATGAAATTACGATGTCCAATTATTCAGAATTTTTATATTGGCAGAATTCTTAAACAGTAAATAAAGCTATCCCGTTTTTGGTGTTATAACATCGCATGTTTGATTAAATTTTGTCCCAAACTTGGTATTTCCCTTAGGACTCTAGTGGATTAGCTTTTACGGAGTACTTTTTTAAATCTCTTAAACTCTTAAACTCTTAAAGTATTAAACGCTCAACATTTTTTATATAAGTACTATTGGTATCGTGAGGATGTTTAATAATTATCATAAGGAGACAAATGAAAATTAAATTGAATCAATCTATTTCAGATTTTTTGTAAGTTAATCTTAAAAACTTACTTATTAGAGTTACATATAATAAAAGCAAAAGCCTAGGCTCACTTAAAACATTCAATAAACCTTTTCAGTGAAATTTTGTTTGATTAAATTTATGAATAAAACTCGTGAGATTCGCGTAATAAGCACATTTCCAGGTCCTAGTGAAATGTAATTAGTGCTGTGCATAGTCTTTATATTTTGAGTGACCGGTATGATTATTAGATAAATTCAATACCAATCGAAAGTATGAAGCCCATAGAATATGCAAACGTTAGGTTGTTTTTAATCAATTAATTATTTATGTGTATATTTTTTATGTGACACTAAAGTATATATACATCTTTAGTAAAAAAGAAAGTTATAGTGATACATATATAATACTACCCTGATTTAAAAATATTGATTGAAAAAAATTTAAAAAATTTACTACATGCAAATTATAAAAAAATATTTTTTTTTAAAATATTAATTAAACATACTCTGGACTGAAATTTGCTCGGCAACCCATATGGATTATATTTATTGACATATTAAATTAAATATAAAATACGTTTCATTAAATAAGCATCTCGGTGAAGGTCGTATATCGGGATCTTATACTAGGAGCTCTAGGTACATTAAATAACCAATAATATGCCGCAAAGTGATTTTTCTACATAATTTAACGACAAAACAGTTTAAATTTCTTCGTTTATTAAAAGTTTATTTTTCGTCACTAGTAAATGCAATTTTTTGTTAACAAATTAATTATTAAGTACTTAATTATATGTAAAGTATTGTTTATTGGCGTAAAAAGAACATTATATTTAGTAAGCTGTATTCTCAATTAATAAAGTTTAAAAACTAACGAACGTAGCTAAAATATATAACAATTTATCATACAAATAAGTTTTTTATGTATAAAAACTGCACACTGCGTTGCCGCCGGATGAAGCGATAAACTGGAAGCCGCATAATTATACTTCCGAACGACGGATCTCATCCAGACTGTGCGTCTGTCACTGAAATTACATTTAATGCCTGACGAGGCCTGACAGACCTATTACGTTATCAGAGACACGATAAAGTGGCCCATCTTATTGACTGCTCATACTTCCTATTAGAATATTTCCACTGTAACTAAATCAGCCTCTTTTCTTTTTTCATTTCGTTGATTAAGTTTTTATTGATAAGGGGTTTAGTACTGATGTTATATTTCATTGCATGATTTACTAATGTTCTCAAATGAACTTTCTTAGCTCTAACCTCTTCAGTAATATTACACAATGTTAAATAAATCACTCATTTGTTTTGTTGTATTACTGTTGGGAAAAGATCAGTGTTTTAGTTGATAGATAGGAGACGTTTTATAAAAAATAGGATTTAGCGTTTAAAATAGATAGCAAAGGATTTTCTGCTAATATACTTTTTATTGTAAAGAGTATAAGAAAGGGAATTTTTGGTCGCTGCAGTCCTTTTTTGTGTCGCTGTTAAGTCATTTTTGTCCGGCAGGTTTGATATAGGTAGTATGATATAGGTAGTATGTTATACTATATCATATTTTTATATGAAAAGAAATGTGCTATAATAAAATATAGAACCACGCCGGTTCTCTTTCTGCACGGTCTAGTAGAAAGTCAGGTTTCAAGTTTGCTTGAAGTTATCAAGACTTGAACTTCGTAAAGCTAAGTTTGCAAGCTTAATTGTAAGCTAAGTGAAGTATTCATATTTCCCTGGTAGCTGTTTGTTGAACTTTGTGTATATATTGCTAGCAGTATCTTTGTAGTAAACTTAGACACTTGTGTGTGGGTATAGTTAATTTTTTTTGGTAGTCCAATAATATCCGTTCCGAATCGGCTGACAATCATATGAACATTTTGCAACTGTCTTGAAAAAATACGTTTGCCGGGCCCGAGCTTTATTGTAAGATAAAGCCAATTAAACAATTTTTTTTAGTTATTAGTACTCACGAAAACCAAAGATAATATCTTTTATCTTCTTTTCTAGAAGTCACCTAATAATAACGTTAATAATTTCAGATTAAGAAAATGGCGGAACGTGTGACAAAATGCCGTGATGACGTAGCGAAAAATCGTGATAAGTACCAGGCTGCATTGGCTGAGATTACGGCCTACAATCCCCGATACATTGAAGATATGACAGGCGTTTTTGACCGCTGTCAGCAGATGGAGGCCCAACGACTTGTGTTCTTCAAGGATGTGTTGTTTAGCTTCCATAAATGTTTGAATATTAGCCAGGAACCCATGTGAGTATTTATTCAATCTTCTTATTTCAATTATACCGCAGTATAATCAGCAGATAATAACATACTACCTATATAGTTGAAATAATATCTAAATGAAGCACCAGAAAAAGGGGGCCGAAATCCAACAAATTGGCAATTTTGAAATTATACTTCTTTAGGCGCGTTATGAAAAATTTATGAGAGTGAAATTTCACGATACGCGCGCACCGTGACACAAAATTATCAGTATGGGCGCCGAGCGTGCGCGAGCGAGATGGGAATAAGACAATCTACAAGTAAAAAGAAATAGAATATGCGTGACGTTAGCAGCTATGCCAAGAATTTTGAATGACCATAATGACATTTGTAGTACCTTTTGAACAAATAAAGGAGTTTTAATTATTTTTTCAAAGAAATTTAGCAATGCTTTTTCACAAAGACCTATTGTTACTTAGTTAAAAGGTTATGAAACATACCTAGTTATTAAATTGAATTAATAATATAATAAAATAATAAATAATAATTATGATTAATATTAATTAATAATCTAATAATATACTAAATATTAAATATTGTTAAATTATTAACGCTAAATATTTATTATTAATTATTTAATATTTTAAAAAAAATAAAGAAAGCCAAAGAAGTATAACTTCTTACGCGCGTACATAAGTACACGCACCATTTTTTTTTTTTAAATTAAAACTTATCTTATATATATAACCCAATAGTTGCTATCCAAAGAGCATTTTCGTCTTGGATAAATCGTTGAACAATTCAACCTAATTTTTCAGATTACCACAAATATACGAAGAATTCCACCATACGATCAACAATGCTGACCACCAAAAGGACCTCAAATGGTGGGCGAACAACCATGGCATCAATATGGCCATGGCGTGGCCACAGTTCGAGGTATTTTAAGTCCGCAGCATTACATTTCCCTATTGGCACACTGACAGCTAGCTTCGTGTCTACAATATAGTTATATATTACCATCGAAGCCAAATTTTATGGGTACTTATCATCCGAAACAGCTAACAGTTTTATGGCAGTTTTTGCCGCGCACTACTATGTGGAATCAGCTGCCCACTTTTTCCGAACCAATTCGAATTAGGCCTTCAAGAAAAGAGCGTACCAACTCATAAAATACTGGCAAAGCACTTTTGCTTCTGCGAATGTGAATGGGCGGTGGTATCACTTAACATCAGATGAGCCACCTGCCTGTTTGCCCCTGTTAAAAGTAAATAAAAATATTGATAGTGATAGTCCTCTAATATTAAAAGAAGATTTTTGTACTTCATCAGTGAATCTCATGAGCTACTTACCTGGTTCTATGTAATGTTTTATGCTTCATAGTATAAAACGTGCCAAAGAACGTCTTTTATCATTCTATTTACCCGAAGCAAAGCCCTTTGAATACTTAAAACCTGTAATCATGTAGGTAAACATTGATAGTGACAGTAGACAATTTTTCTCTTACGTATTATGATGACAAAGCAGCTGTCAGTGTCAACTTATAAAACTACTTATGTATGCCTCTAACTATATGCTTTTTTATTAGATTTTGATTTGGACGAAAAGAGTTATTTCCATCAGAAATTTTTAAAGTACTGTTGGAAGGTTTTCGAGAGACTCTTTTCCTCCAAAAAAATATTAGGTACGCATGTTAGAGAACTCTTTTTCTTCTCGATTGGCTGTTTTAGTTCAAAATATGCCTGCTTTAGCCTTCGAAAGTTTAACTTTAGCTTAGTGTAGTTAACTCCAAAGTAAACTAATATTGAGCCGTGTTTGAACAGACACAACGTCATTACAAAATCTATGAACAAACATAAATTTTGAAACCTTACTCAATTTCTACACGTTCACACGATTAAAACTTCTCTCATATCTTTTGTTAATTAAATTCAAAGTTACACCAAGAATCAAATTAATATTGAAGCGACCTTTACGTTCTAAGTGATTTAGCTGAACCCGAGACTTTGGGATAAAGAAAGTTTCAACGGGACTGTGTGGGCGGATTGACAGCGGTCGGCACAAATTGCGAATAAAACTACAAACTTTAATAGTGACTCCGATAACTTTGAATATTTGTGTTAATCGTCTACACAAAGATTAGTCTTTTTAACTTTTTTGTTACTGCTGCTTGCTTAATATTTCTATACATAAAAGTTAATCATACAATACGCATTTGGCACAACAGAACAATGGAAAACGTTAGCTTGAGATAGGCATGATGCCAAACAAAAACACAACAAAACCACACCGAAGCGTTACGTATTCATGTGTTAGACTAGAATGATCATTAGGACGAACCGTCGGAGACCACAGAGCCGATACGATACAAATACCTTCCCGCTGCGGCGTCAGCGGTGATAGACCGCGTGGTGACCACGGCTAGACGACCGCGAAATATCTCCGTGGGTGCGCTGTGGTCACGCACACAGCGGCACCTGCGACTCGCCCTGCCATCTATCTGCTTCAGGGAAGAGAGGGACCCCAGAGTGGCGCCCTCTGACACCACTAGCGTGTATAAGGGAGAATATTTTACCAACTCCTACATGGTACGCCGTCACGGTGTAGGTGCGGCGATTTTCAGAGCAGGCTTCGTGGTCGACAAGATGGATGGCACATAGGGATTTTACACATAGGAACTACGGCTCCGGCTCGAAGGACCAGAAATGTATCACGCACTATCACAAAGCTCTGTCAATCGCCAAAACAACCGTTGCACGATTGCTGAATGTGACTCCTCACTGGTTATGGACATACACCGTGATGGTTATTAGAATGTGGACACTGCACTGTCATTGAATTTGTAACTGTTAAAATCTCATCGACACTTAATAAGGGAAATAAATTGGATACTATAAATTTAAAATGTAAATAAATTAAAGATTTTATTTTGAGTCTCTAGCAGTTACGATAACATTATTACACAATATATATATAGCACAACGCATAAATTTTCAATATGTTAAAAAATTAAATGCTTTTAATAAATCCCCAAGCAAATTAATTCTCGACATAAGCATGGCAAACCCATACTTAAAATAGCAGAGCTTGTTGTCGCGGCTTTTATTGAAACTGTAAAATAATGTTTGTTTTATTTTTTTTAATTTTGAGTTTGCCTTCGTGGCGTGAAGTTGGGATCTTATGACAGTGGATACTTGGTCGCTTAAATTCATCAACTTCCGGTTTGATTTCGGTCATCCCAACTTCCGCCACTGTGTGTAAACGTTCGCGTCGCTTGATCGCGTGTTGGAAAACCAGGAATACACGGAGGAGTTCCGGGACATCGCCAAGGGCAAGTCGAAGGAGAGCCTGCCCACCGGACCGATCACCTTACTCAACCAGCGCCCTGTCAGCGAAGACGTACGTCTCTACGCCCGGTTGCTTCATTCGACATTTCCTTATCGCACTTTTCTAAGAATTATTTTCCTTTAGTTTAGTTGTATACGTCCGCGAAGTCGCTATAGATCATTTTTAGATGAATTCAATGATAAAGGATGTCGAGTGGAGTAATTAAAGCGATTTCTTTTACTTTTAAACACGAGAATATTTTGTTAGTCGATAATAGAAATTAATAAAAGCTACGTGTTGTATAGATTTAGATAGACGAAACAAAATATATCAGTGTGCCTCAATGAAGGGCTAAGCACATTTTTTTATTGTAACGTGGAAAGTTAAATTTACAAGTACTAAGTGTGATTAGGCCCATGATGGGATTTAAATGAGAATGAAATATGTTGCTGTGTGCATGTTTATATATTAATTTATATAATAAATATATTGGGAGCGTGGGTCATTCTCATTTCGATCTATATAGTTTATTTTTATCAATGTTGCATGATTGTTGCTTACGATATGCATATTGGCACGATTATTAACAATACAAAATCGATATTTTTATATTGCAATATCTAATTATGTAATATCGATATACAGGAACTCCCGCCAATAACAAACAACAAAGTGAAGGCAAATCACACGGAGCCTGTAGTACAAGTGAATAACGCGCCGTCACAGAACAGCACAGCCAATAATACCATAGACAAGAAATCTATCAGTGCACCGATCGCTGTCACGTGAGTATTCCTTCATTTGTTTATGATTACAACATTTAATTTTAAATCCCTATTGTATTTTTAAATTTGATTCTATGAAAAAGTAATAAAGATCTTAAACTAAAATAGATGGTTTAAAAAGTCAGTTAAAAATTAACCGGGGAGGGGAAGGTAAAAGGATAAGAAACCACTGTGTCGTTTAATTCTGATTGGTGAACAGAATCTTGTCTGACACGCGTTCCTACGTGAGATGATGAGTCATATTATGTCTATTTGACCAACCACGAACGCAACAGTTCGTCTTCCATTTAACATTCCCTATTTCCCCATTCCTAATCCTGATCCGTGTCCTAGTATTGAACGTTTGGAGATCTACACGTGTTCGTCGACGTCTCACGCACCCGTTCGCCTTGCGGTACGATCAGACAGAGCGCAACATTCACGATATACTATATGTGAAGTCAATGATGGGTTCGATTGGCAGTTATGTATATTTTAAGTGGTATTTTATCTCTAGTTTTTGTATAGAGCAGTGTTGGCATGGTGGCTTCAGCGTGCGACTCTCATACCTGAGGTCGTAGGTTCGATTCCCGGCTGTGCACCAATGGACTTTATTTCTATGTGCGCATAACATTCGCTCGAACGGAGAAGGAAAACATCGTGACGAAACCGACATGTCTTAGACCCAAAAACTCGACGGTGTGTGTCAAGCACTGGAGGCTGATCGCCTACTTGCCTTTTAGATTTAAAAATGTTCATGAAACAGATTCATAAATCTGAGGCCAAGATTTTTTTTTAGTTTTTGTACACATACATAGAAAATATATTAGTTTTGAAGTTAGGTATACTTCTTTTGGCGCGTTAGGGAAAAATGATGAGAGTAAATTTTTAAGATGCGCGTGCACAACAAAACCGAACCACCCTAAAGTTAGCTTAGTCAACATTTTAAAATAAAAAATGTCCATTTCTTAAATTATGTAGTAATATTTAAATAAACTTTATTTAACTAGATAATGCGTTATAATAAAACGTTCAATATATTAAATGCCTTTTTTCTATTGTTAGTGTAATTTTTTCTACAAACGTAGAATAAGGCGAAAGATAAAAATTTTAAAACTATATTTAAAAAGTCACAAGTCTAACAGTCACAGTCTTATTATGAACGTCAATATATATATATATATATATATATATATATATATATATATATATATATATATATATGAAATGCTTCTAATTTTACATTACGCCAAAGAAGTATAACTTCTAACACGTGTACATAATCTTACATGTTTTTTTTTATGTTATTTGTTTTGTAAATAAATAAAATTAAATAACTGTCGCCGGTTCACTTATCATTTTTGCGATAACCCGCAAGCTCGTTGGGATGGTGTTTTCTGAATATAAAATACTAATTAGGTACTTGAATTTCAGAAACGGTACAGCATCAGCGCCAAAATCTAACAAGTCATCGCCCGTGAAGGAGCCAAGCCGGCAAGATAATCCATTCGAAGAAGAAGAGTGGGAGGAAGAGTCTGGAGGTCCTTTGACGGACACGGGTGAACCGGGTGTGCCCGTACGAGCTTTGTATGACTACACTGGCGCTGAGAGTGACGAACTTAGCTTCCGGCAAGGTTAGTGCTGCTTTAGGGTTTGATTCACTTTGAACTTTTAGCAAAATATACGTTATTAATAACAAAAAAAAACGTGTGGCACTCGGGGACTGCCGCGATAAAGCTATTGCATAGCATTTTTTATCAACTTATGCAATTATAATTATTTATTTATTTTTAATGTATGCAGTATATTTTTTTTTCTTTTATATTAATTGAATCTACCACTCTACCAGTCTCAGTCTAATACGCTTATATAGTCTATCTCACTCTAACGAGTACCGGCTGCACCGGCAGCGCTTACGCTACGTCACCGATCTCGTCAGAGAGATGTGAATACGCAGTATGCGTTCTGTCCCACTCTAACGCACCTGCGCTACGTCACCGATCACGCCAGACCGATGTGGGACGCAGTATGCGGTCTGTCCCGTTCTAACTCGTATTGGCCGCACCTATATTACGTCATCGTGTGTTAGGTTTTTATTTTCGTTACGAATGAAATGATTCGGTCGCCTCGCTCAAAGCCCGCGATAAAATTTATGCAAAGCTTAATATTTTAAATCTTTAACTTTATTTTATTCTTTCCAGGTGACTTATTCGAGAAACTAGAAGACGAAGATGAACAGGGATGGTGCAAGGGGCGAAAGGATGGCCGAGTGGGGCTCTACCCCGCCAATTACGTGGAGCCAGTGGGGCATTAACGCCCAATTGCCCCTTACCCTAACTGCGCAGCTTATTTACTTGTGAAAATGCCGCGAATTATTTAATACCACAATGAATGGAGTAGATCATTTTAATATATTTTTAAGTTAAATAAATATTTAATTGTAAAACAGTTTTGGGTAATACAATTGTATTCCATTGTAATAAGATTGATTACAAAAGTTAAATTTCGTGACATTTTCGCGAGACTAAATTTTTGACGGAATGTGACGTCACTCGACTTTGTAAAATGACGTAACCGACTCTTTGTATTGTGTATTAAAGTTTATATTTACTATTCAATACTTATCGAAGCGTTGTAAATTAGTAAATTATATTTAAATCGATTAGCGGAAATAGCAAAGGTACTTGTTACCTTGTGGTATAATTGACGATTTATCGACTTTAGAAATTCTTTAAATAGCAGACGAGTTTTTGGGAATTATATTCAAAGTCTCCTACGCCTAACCCATTTAATGTGAATCAAATATCTTATGTTTGACAAATTAATAAGGTGGTGAAAATCAGTCTTCGACAACTGCAAAAACAAATATCAAAGAAACGTTTAGTTAAAACAATTTTGCAATTCATTTGAATATTTTTTTTTATCTCTGACAACGCGTAAGCAAGCTATAAGCTAAATAAATGACTGTTAAAATGTTGCCAAAACACTGAATTTGATAAAGAATACGAAGATGAACAGGGATGGTGCAAGGGGCGAAAGGATGGCCGAGTGGGGCTCTACCCGACCTACTATGTAAAGCCAGTGGGGCTTTAAAGCCCCTTATTGCAACATATATCCTTAACATATCCTATAAATTTCCTTATATGTAAATAAAAATTGGATTGCGCTGAAGGCGTATGAGATTTTGATTTTAATTTAAAATTCAATTGAATAGTAGAATCAATGCAAGTATTTAATTACGATTTTTATAAGGTATAAATGGCTCTAAACTGGCTTAACGAGTGATATACGCGTGTGTTTTGACGTCGTTTTAACCGCGATTTTTAAACTTTAAACGTGCACCTAAACGTTTTTTACTCTTGAATTTTATACGGAGTTGGAACGGCCAAGGGTATTTTTCGAGGTTATGTACACGGAAACCAAAAAATTTAAATTGTAGAGCGGGTTTAAGGGTTCGAAGACGGTCTCTCGGCGCTTCGGTGTAGAGAAATGTTCGGTTCGACCGACGAGTTGAAGCCAAAAATGTACGCATAGCTCTGTACATCTCTCGTAGTGTATTTATTTCCTGTATATAAAAGTATTTACGAAGCGAAGGGAGCCTTTAGATGTAATGTATTAAAGTTTTCCTTTTATTTTATACCTCGTTTTATTGTTGTATCGTGAAGTAGCAACGAGTCACTAGTGGAGGCAGCGTATTCTTGACTTGACGCGGTCTTAGGTTTATTGTTTTGTTATAGGTTCAGAGACCACTGAGAAATTCATTGTATATTATTATCAGAGAGGGTGGCCACGGACCACTTATGTTAATATATTATTAATATTGGTAAAATAAATTGTTACAATATGATGTTCGTTGTTTTATTTAGCAATTCATTAAAAAATATAGAGGAAAATCTTTAGAAAGAGATCCTCTACAAAATTGCTTTTCCTTCTGATTTTATCAAAAAGTTATTAAGGAAAAATTGATTTTTTTGAAGTTATACTTCTTTAGGCGCGTTATAAAAATTTATGAGAGTGAAATTTTAAGATGCGCGCGCACCTGTGACACAAAATTGGGAGTGTGATTATAGCGTGCGCGAGCGAGATAGGAATAAGACAATCTACAAGTAAAAAGAAATAGAATATGCGTGAAGTTCGTATGCCAAGAATTTTGAATGACCATAATGACATTTGTCATTTACCTTTTAAACAAATAAAGGAGTTTTGATTAATTTTTCAAAGAAATTTATTAATTTTATATTGTGCAATACTGCCAAAGCTACAACATACTTCTTAGTGTTTGGTAGAGATGTTCTAAATATATAATTATATATACTTTTAACTAAATAGAATTTATGTTACACTTAATGTAAGAGAATAATAATAAATAATTATTTATTTAATTTTTCAAATGTAAACTGAACTTAATTGACTATAATGACCCCTTTTCCAGTCTTTGATTGTAATTGTAATTAATTGATATTTGCATGCAATCAAAAACTATTTTTAATAATGCCAAAGAAGTATAACTTCTTACGCGCGTACATAAGTACACGCACCCTTTTTTTTCACTTTTTTACTTTTAACTTTAGAATTTTAGCTTTAAGATAAAAAGTCACACAGACATAATTGTAGGCAAAGCGATTTGCTACAAAATATGTCTTTACAATTTTTTTGAACTTTACAATTAGTTTAGGAGATATAGCCAAAACGTGTTTTCACCCCTTTTTCTAAGTTGGCAGCCGGGGGACATGGGCGCCAGCCCCACAAACTTGAGGCTAAGATAAATAAAATTGCGTCCTCTAATAAATGTTCAGTTTGGCCCTCAAATTGTAACATTTCAATGGACTAGTTATCAGATAGTAAATCGAAATCCTTACATCAATTTCCTGATTTAAACAATACGTTGCGTTTAACACGAACGACAGATACAATCATGTGTACTATGGGAGTGTTCATTATGTTTAAATAAAAAATAATGTCGTAGTGACTTCTAAATCATTTATTCGAAAATGGTTATGCTTATACGTGTTACAACGCTTTTTTGCGTTATATATTTTACTAAGGCTACTGTAAATTTGGTAAGAGCCATTTAATTTTTACATATATCAAATTCAAAAGGCTTGATATTTAGCTTTTTTATGAAAACCAGGGTTCGGGTCTCTGGTACATACACACAATTCTCGACTGCAATGATGAATTACCGCGAATGGTAGGCAACATGACCATCGACAAACATAAATTGAATCGTACGCATGACATATATGACTTGGAAATGGATGTATATGAAACCGTGGGGAATACCTATGGGGTAAGCTATTAATATCTACAAAACTTACCATTACAGTAGAGGATATTACATTTTATTTCTGATGTTAAGTTATACCGCCGCCCTTAGATACTTACATTGCCAGAGGGCTAAAACAAGAAAGACAAAGAAACAACAACATTGACTTTTAAAAAACTAAAAGCGCGCCAAACGTATCTAAAAGGCACCAACAGTGTTGACACTTGTAATCGTAGCAGTCATGCTGTTAAATAGTTGCGCTCCCTCAAACGTCAGCACATTCGCAGTAATTTGTGCTCATTTTTGGCAAAACAATGTTGTTTGTCCAATAAATGTGTCTTTTCGTAATTAGATTAGCGTGGATAGGACTTTAGAGACGAGAACAAAGACATAATTTAAAAAGAAGGGTGCGTGTACTTATTAAAGACTGGAAAAGGAGTCATTATAGTCAATAAAGTTCAGTTTACATTTGAAAAATTAAATAAATAAATATTTATTATTATTCTCTTACATTAAGTGTAACATAAATTCTATTATTATTCGTTTTTTTTTTAATTATGTCCAATGCCGTAGCATCTTCCGTGGGCAACTTCATTCTGTTAATTTTGTGTCACGGTGCGCGCGCATCGTAAAATTTCACTCTCATCAATTTTTCATAACGCGCCTAAAGAAGTATAACTTCAAAAAAATCGGATGTTAAGTAGACCAGTGTCACAAATCTTCTTGCTGTTTGTGTTCTACTTATGATTAAAGTGGAATCAAGATTTTACAAATTTATTTTGCCCAGTCTAGTTTTTACTGCGCTACCCGATATTTCAATGAGAGAGGATGAATGGGGCTTTATCTAGGTACTAGTGTAGTATTCGATATGTAGATTTCTTGGAAAGTAGCGAGATAAATTACGTAATAATCCACAACGCGTTATAAATTATTCTTTTATGTAGTTTATGTGAACCGACCAAGTTAGTTTACATTCAATATTTAGTCCCACATATTTTATGTGGCTTTGTTTCTCGATTGGCTCATCATTGGTTAATGGTTAAAGATATATTACATTAAATATAATGTAGCATGTTTTAGTATTATTCAATCAAATCAAATCAAAATACGTTTATTCAATTTAGATGCTTCTTAGAGCATGCTTATGAATGTCAACAACGTTTACAAAATTCACGAAAGAGCAAGACTACGCCATCCATTCGCAAAACTACCAGGAGGCCTTGTTCTGAGAAGAACGGGCAAGAAACTCAGCAAGTTTTGCCCTTCCCTTTACATTACAATTATTCAAAGGAAAATGTCATAAACCACAACGTCATTAAAGTTACATAAGTAAAAAAAATAAAAATCTGTTCTGTGATTTACCACATTCACCATTACTACTACTACTACTACATTACTACTACGGTATTGATAGTTAATATGTTATATTGGAACCACTCGTTACTAATGTTTACGTTAGCTTGTGCTTGTTCAGCGATGTTGTGGAGTGTATTTTCTGTAAATAATTTGGTTTCCGTAAAAAGAATGATTCGGACTAAAATCGTATTTGGTCTTAGAAAGGAATTTAAACTAATTCAGGTGTTTTGCTAAACTCTTTCCAAAATTCTTGAAATTACCGGTAATACAGGGTAGGTAGTTGCTGGGGTCAGATTTTGGACCGGATTTATGTAGGTATAGGAGATACTTTGGACACCTTAAGTGAATTTGGAAATATACCTGCAATTTGTTAGAATTAATTGTATGAATTTAGGTTGTTTATTGTGTTAATAATTTATTCTGGAGTACACGTTACAAAATTAGATAGTGACTATTTATGGTTCCCATAGTATTTTGAGGGTATTTTGTATTGTGAAATACTGGTTAAAATAATGCCAAAAAACTTCGGGTGTGTTTTTTCTACTGATGTACTAATAAGTTTCGGAGGAGCGCGACTTTATTGTTTATTAAGCTATTGATAAATTTACACATATTTTAGGATATTTACCATTATTTGGTTTGTGTTTATGGTAATATGCCTGCATCGTAATTTGAATTTGTTTGTTTACTTTTTTCAAGAAAATCATGCTGTTATGCGTTTTCAACTATTTTTCTTAAACGTACTCCATATGACATTTCATTCTATAATCTGATGTCTTTATCAGTCTTTCTGTGGCTTATTAAGAATCTTAGTTTTTTATTAAAGTAATTATATAATCTTATTTTAGGTACTAATCAATTTTTACAAAAAGACAGACGGCGGTAGCAAGCTATTTCAAGTGATGGCAGATAATGATATAGATAAAAAGTATGCTCCTAATAACGCGAAGGTGGTGTTTGCTAAGGCTGGAATGGATCCCCCAGGTTTTCCTGTCCAAGCGGTACAAACTCAGATATTTTTCTAATTTTTAAGTAAATTTTGATTTAAGGCAACAAAAAAGATTGTGTTAGCCAGATCCAATTCTAATATTTTTTTTTTTTGAGCAGTGATAGCTTACATGAACGAGTTTCTCAATATAGACGCTGTGGACACCTGGTTTTGAGAAAACTGCATTTCAGGCCTACAAACCGACGTCGGACACACTGATAGGCTGATCACCTCAAAAGTGTTGCAACGCCACTGATTATTCTTACAAGAAATCCTTTATATCAAAATTTTAAATTATTGCAATTGTGGAACATAGAATAGCTCGTCTCGGGTTAAGAACTAACAGATCTTCTGTTTTCAGGGTTCATACAAAATTGAAGACTTCTTCTTTGACCATTGTGAATTGCCAGATATTGCCATATATGGGGAGTTCACCGTAGATGCATTTATCGTGAAAGATGACTTACGAGTAGCATGCTTCAGGGGACACGTTGAATTCAGGGAGGACGAAGACGATATTTGCAAACGAACTTCATCCATAGCAGACCAGATAGGGAATTTGAAGACGTTCTATTGAACATTTCGTGATATTTATAGATATGTTTTCTCTATTTCATATATTTTGTTTATCAATGTAATGTGCTTTGTGTCTAAGTGTTTTCTTTCATAATATGGATATAGGTAGCTGTGAGATTACTTATCAATAATTAAATAGATAGAAAACCACTCGTAGGTTCGATCCTCGGCTGTGCACCAATGGACTTTCTTTCTATGTGCGCATTTAACATTCGCTCGAACGGTGAAGGAAAACATCGTGAGGAAACCGGCTTGCCTTAACCAAAAAGACGATGGCGTGTGTCAGCAGGAGGCTGATCACCTACTTCCCTATTATATCATCAAACAGATACAGACATCTGAGGCCCAGACCTACAAAGGTTACAGTTTTGGTTAGAGCCACTGGTTTGTTTATTAAACGAAGCTTTATGGTGAGAAAAATAAATTATATTAATATTACAAAGTACCTTTACCAACTTACACTTCGTGAAATAAAATTAAGGTACCGTTTACAAAGTTCTAAGGCAGGAAAACACTAACACCGCACGTTTTCTCCTTGAAGCGGTAAAATTCACAATACTTTTCATAATTTCAAGTCAATTGCAAGCTTGAGCAAAATAATAATTCTAAGGTAGTGCATTCAAACCCACGGTACACAATTGAATTTAAGGATCTGCATTTTATACCTAAACATAGACGTGGTGTCAGTCTGACTGTAAAAGTTCACCTTTAAAAAGTTGAAAATAAAAACACGCTTTAGAAGTTATACTTTGGCGTAAGGGAGCGTTCAAGTATTACGTAACGAATTTTGAATTTTTAAAACGTTACGATGAGGGGCGGGGATTGAATTATGCGTTATTATTAATATTATATCGACTTTCCAGTACTTTACACAACATAATGGTAACTTTTAGGTATAAAGAGTCACTAGGTGGTCACGAAACGTTTTACTATTGGGTACAGATAAACGTTAGGGTGCGTTACATTGGGGGGGTCACCGGTCAATAATGTCCAAAAATTGCGTGACGAAATTAGCAATAGAAAAAACTAAAAATGTTGACTATAGCTAACTTCAGGGTGTCGGTTTTTTGTGACGGTGTGCGCGTGCATCGTAAAAATTTACTCTCATAATTTTTTCCCTAAAAGAAGTATAACTTCAAAAAGAAAAACCAAAAGACAGGCCCCCTTCCCCTTACCAATAGATATTCTAAACAACAGGTATAAAAGAAAAGCATATTTTTCAAAATCTCTTTATTTCCATTGTACGCGGTGCATTTACACATTCTGTTACGCGCCAAGCGATACATCAAAATGGGTTTTGAAAAAAATATTCTTTTCCACTTTTCTATGAAGCCAACGGGAACATCGATAAGCTGGTAATAAGATCTTCAATGCATTGTTTGGCACAAACTAAGGATTTACAGTCCACCGATGTCGTGACATCTAGGGCTGTGTTCTAAAGGTTGGTCGCAATGACGTCAAAAACATATTGGATTCCGACGACATCAATGCGCGTTTGACTCTGAATTTTACCCTGATTTCTGACTTGTTGAATCTAGTCCAGTTATCAAGTTAATAACAGGCGAAATGTGCTTTGGAATACCGACTCAAGTAACTCCAAATCACATTTGTTCCGCAAAGAAGAAAAATATGGCAAAAAAAACAGTAAATTAGTAATTCAAGGGATTGGAGGCAATGCAATAAAACTCCAAAATATTTTGTTTTTCGTATAAAACTACTCAAATTACAATCGTTTTAAGCTTATTTTGAATATCTCCAATCCCCTTTTGTCTGTTGAATTGCAATACGCACATAGGTATATCCCACCATACCGACGCAGCAAAACATTTATCCGAAGCATTTTTTATTAAAACACATTTGTGTCCAGAATTAGCTTTTGCTGTTGCATCGTTCTAAAGTAAAGAGATTTACGCCGGCCTCACTGATATGTGATCACAAAATATTTACAGGAGTAACCATAATTGATGGGTTCAGCGGAGATCCCTTAAATATCACTTCGAAACCTACTTCACAGTACGACATACACTCCGGCCGAACTAAGACTGACGAATGGCGTTCAATGAAATACGTTAAAATTTTAAGTGTATCAATAGTTACGGCGGGAATCTTATCTAAAACCAAGGACTTCTTTAATATATTGAGGATTGAAGCCCAAATCGATCGGCAGGTTTACCCTGTTACTTTAATAGATATTCTGATTTCATTATTAAGTACCTATTAAAATAAATAACATCGAAAATGTCATTTTAAACGCTAAATTAGATATTTTTAATTGAGGGTAGACAGAATAATTATCTAAATAAAGGTACCCTCTTAGGTAGAAGAAAATATTTATTAGATTTTTAATATAAATAAAACAGTGTTAGTTCGGCCAGAAACCACTACACAATGCGACTGGAATTCTCATAAATACTTTTTACGAAAATATAGAAAATAAATCTAAGTTAAAACGTAAATAGTGGAACAGAAGTCTTTACACAACAATTAATTAGGATTAAATATTTACAAATTTCCAACATAACAATATATTTGTTGACAACTAGCGTTAACAATTTATTTTACCTTTGACAGATTCATTTTTATAAACGAAATCCATATATAAAATTTGCCATCAACCGTCTAATGTTCATAAAGTATTTAATTTTCCATTCAAGAATGTCGGTCAAAAATTACGAATCTTTAAGGTACTTCTATCAAAAGCAAAATAAACTTATTTTAAATATCAGATAATGCAATACATGAAAATTGCATTTTCAAAGTACAAAACAATGAATAACTATAACAATAAACGAGGTTTTCAAAAGGTATCAAACAATTTACATAAAATGCTGAGAAATGCCTAAATTACGAGAAAAGTCACGTGAAAAACCTTTGTGACGTGGACAGATTTGACAGCTGACAGATTATATGACACATGACATATGACACTTCACTGTAGGCAGGCCTGCAGCTTCTCGATCCACTCCTGCGCGGCATTCGCGTCGCTCGCGCAGAAATTGTACGTTCGTCTGCTCGTTCGTAACTGGAATTTTAGAAAATAAAATCTCTTTGCAAATACCGCAATTCTATTAATGTCTAATACAAATTTATACAATACTAGCGACTGTCCCGGCTTTGCAAAGATCTACTTTTCTTATTATATATAATAATCAAATAACAAATGTAACCAATACAAGTCAGAGATACTGTAATAGGAAAAAACCTCTTTTGTTATTTTTAATACCTTCGATAGATTATTTTATTAATGCTTTTTTAAAGACGAAGTACCTCACTGAGATAAATTGATAATTCCTTGTAAATTATTTCTTTGAACCCTATTATGACTAAACAAGATTTCCTAATGTCATTATAAAAAGTGTTTGAAAAAGGTTAAAAAAATATACTAACATCGAAGAAAGATCGATCATCACATTTCTTAGGTGGGCCGGGCGCAGGCGCCGCACCGGACACCGCTATCACTTCCGCTAAATCTGAAATAATATAAATATTGCATAGCGTAATTAACTTAATAATATCTTATAAATAACAATAAAGTTTATTTGTCTCTTCACAATATTGCAGTTTACAGATTGACATGCTGCAAGTATTGATCATCTTTGTGAGAGGCTGGTGCCTATAGAAGTCCTGGCCACCAGCCTTCCATCGCAGATAGAAAATATATTAAAAGTGGACTACATACTATGACTAAAGGAAAAGCATAAGTATCTGTGGGTATGTGTAAATATGTGTAAGGGTGTGTGAATTAAAAGTGTGTCAAATACATAATTAAATTTAAAATGTACCTCAAATGGGTATGACTAAAAAATATTTCTGTAGTTTCGTAATTAAGGCTTTTTATAAATTTAAAAACAGATTTTAATTTTTTTAATTTTGTCTCTGATTATTTAATATAAATATCAAAATAAATGTAAATAATAATTTAATATGATATGTTTCAACATATATTGCTATGTGGGTGACTGGGCATATACTAAATACTATATTAAATAAATCCAACTCACCAATAAATCCTTTACAATGCGAATCCTCCATCGCGTCGTAATATCGCAATTGGTGTTTTATAGAGTCCAACACGAACCATCTGAAATAAAATTTTTTTTTAAACTAACTAACTAACAACTTTTTTTTAACTAATTGAACAAGCATATGCACAGAGTTTACATTTACTGCCAGTTCTTAAAGAACAAGAACAAGAACTGGTACTAAACTCTTTGACACTTAAGGATTTACAAAATCTTTCAAAATCATGTTAAAGCAATTAATTAAAATAATAAAAAATAAATAAACGTGCTTTCTCTACCAGATCTACCAATGAAAAGGGAGGAACTTACATTACTGTGAGAACAAACGCAAATACGTCAACGCATGTGTTCGTATTTTAAAGACACGCATTTTACGTACAAATTTTGGAAAACGATTTATAAAATAACAGAAATGATTAAATTTATAGACAGAAAAAATAGTGTCTTTCATCATCATCAAAATAATTTTTCTCAAAAAAAAAATCTTAGTAGTTTAAATAAAAAGGCTGCGACGGACAAACAAACGAAATATATATAACCTTTGTTTCCAGCCCTTGAGCAGAGCCCCTCTCTTGTAGAGGTGACCTTCGTGCGTCCTGTTCTCTGCTACGTTCGATGAGAACTGCTCGTAATACTGCTGGGAACTCGATTGAAGGGTGCCTACGCCTGTAAAATTTAGGTGACATACAGGGTGAAATTTCAATAATCTATGTTGATATATTAAAAATATCATACTGTTAGCGAGCGGCATCTTGGCGTCCCTGTCGGGCTGCGGCGGAGCCTTGTACTTGGTGCAAGGCAAGGCGAAGGACTCCGCGCATCTCTCGTGACACGCCGCGCCGCAGTCTACGCACCGGACGCCCGTCTGGAACGTATACGTACATATAGTTATTTTAAAGTTTGTTTAGCTTAGCATCAACTGTGATTATTATTATTATTACATATAATAACTGTTTTCGATAAATAACAAATTAATACCTACTCTGCGTAGTAAAGAAATAAAATAATTTAAAAAAAAACTTAAAATTTACATCAAAACATTGCATAATCATGGGGTGGCTATAACTTCAAAGACTTACCTCCAAGGGACCCCACAGCAAGTCAGCACAGTGATCACACCTTGCCGGTGCCGCGGCTGGCGCTGGGGCGAACCTGTGATGAGGAGCGGCGGCCGTCGGGGCGGCTGCCAGTCTTCCTCGCACCAGCACTTCCAGAGTCCCTCGACGGTGAGCTGCAGCCGCTGCCACGCGGACTACGCCGCTGCACATCGACGAAACCCGCTGCAATTAACAATAAAAACCGTCAGAAATAATAAATTTCAATAATAATTGGGAACTAGCATAAAATATAAATGGTACAAGCGTATATTATGTAATATAATATAAAACTTAGTAGTAAGGAACTGTAAAACAAAAAAAAACAATTTTACCAGCAAAATAAAAAGCTAAAAAGTCACCTGCAACTCTAGTGTATTAGGTAGCTCCAGCTGTTCCCATCTGACTCTCCACTTCTGGGGTAAGTGACCCAGCTCCAACTCCAGCTGTCTCAGTCTCTCCAAGAGACCGCTAAATGCATCCGGCATACATCGAGATATACTGTCGTTGCTGAAATTTAATTAATTATTATTATCCAATACACGAACACTGCCAATCGACGGCCATCTTTAATAGGTAATAATTATCATACCCGGCCGTAACAAGTCTCCTACTGGCTTTTGGCTCTGGGTCCGTGGGCCAAAGATCAGGTTCGTAAGGCGCTCCGTGAGACAACTCCTCGGTCACATAGTAATCCCAAACCTCCAGTCGGGAGACAGCGGTGACAGGACGCAATACCTGAGAGGACATTTTTCTCTTTCGTTTATATTTTTTTTAATTGTTTTTATGCGCGAGTCACGTGACACAAAATGGTCACAGATATATAATTTCTAATCTTAAACTATCTTGGAATTAAATTTGTATTAGGTCACTCGAGTAAGTAAATATTTAGATTTACCTTTTTGTAGGTAAAACAAAAAAATACATAGCATTTTTTTATTGTCCTCAAATAAGTCAAATTTGTCCCTTTTTCGGTGGAGAACTTTTTAGCAACAATTAGTGTATAAACTATCTCCGCTTTAAAAGTTAATAGCGTGCATGACGATCTCACAAGCCCCAGGCTTCAATTGAAACAGGCCCAAAAATGTGTCTGGCCCTTGCCCAATTGGAGGGTTACAGAAGTTCCAGTGTGTATATAGATGCATCAAGTGATAAATCTATGTCTAAAATTTAATAAAAATGTCTAACCGGGTTATCCAAGTCCGGTGCATAGAGCAGATTGAAGAATATGGGCGATCTCTGATGAAGCCTGTCGATGTACTCGAACACGCCCAGACCTCCACGGCCCTCATCGTCTCCGTTGGCACCTTCAGCCCCGCCGCTGCTGGATTCCATTACCTTAAGGTAATTCAAATATAAATTATTATTGAAATACTAGCTGACCCGGCAAACGTTTGTTTTGCCATGTATATTATTTCTAGGAAACATTTATTTAGTTCAATAAAAATATAACTATCTACAATAATGAAAAACAGGGGTTGATCGGAGAGGGATTAAAATTAGGGGATGTATGTATTTTTGTATGCTGTATTTAAATTACAACATTAAAAAATAAAAACAAAAAAAATATATAAAATAAAAAACACCGGGGTGGCCACCCCTTATCACTTACGAGTTTGTAAGATAGATAGTAGCCGATTCTCAGACTTATTGAATATGACTAGAAAACAAACATACACGAGAATATTATATTATTGAAATATTAGTCGAGTGATATAAATCTAAATATAAGTTCTTTACGGGTACGTTACGTAATTGTGTACGCTAATGAACAACTCTGTGTTTACCGAGCGTCCTATTATTAAGACTTAATTTTAACTAGTAATTCCAAATGTGCATACATGCTGCTTTTTTAAATTGAGTTAAAAAATATAAATATATGGATAAAAGATTTTATTTTAACAAAACCATTACCGATAATTCCAATTCGGCAACTATTTATATCACATACAAAACAATACATACACATAGAACACAAAAACTTGTGTGTACTTAAGTACACGGGTTAGAAGTTATACTTCTTTGGCGTAACAAGATAAGAATCTTTTCAAAAATTTTATCATTCGCCATATTATACGTTTGTAGAAAAAGCAACACTAACAATAGAAAAAAAAATACTCTCATAATTTTTCCCTAACGCGCCAAAAGAAGTATAACTTCAAAAAAACTAAAATGTTGACTATAGCTAACTTCAGTTTTTTGACGGTGTGCGAGTGTCGGTTTTTGTGACGGTGGGTGCGCATCGTAACAATTTACTCTCATCATTTTTCTCGAACGCGCCCCAAAAGAAGTATAACTTCAAACTTATTTCTTACAGTATAGGAACTGACATGAATCAGACCTTTTGTCAGTTCACTCAACGGACAATCAAAAATGTCTGTTAATCTTTGCAGGGCATTAATTATTTCCATACATATGTATTCTCTTTTGGAGAGGTCCCTAACGTAACCATCAGACACCCAGGCACTGAAGCACTGCCGGATTGTTTTCCTTTCCAATAATAAATTAAAAAGACTCACCAGCCTGCCAACATCTGGTCTCCTTTCATCAGGCGAAAGTCCGATGTCCGCTCTTTGCGCTTCATTATCGAAGAGGAACGTCCGAAATCGACAAGACACGCTGTGATACGCCACGAAACGGAGGTAGTAATCGTTGAACTCGAATGCCAGGGGAAATTGTTTTTGTAGCTGAAATATACATTTATATATATCAGAGATTAGGTTATAATAGAACATGAAGTAATTTGTTTTATTACAATGGCAACACCACGCAATACCATAGACATCTTACAGGTTGTAAAATGTCAATGTGTCAATTGTTTAAATATTAAGTGGCCTCATAGGCTAGCGGTCTTATTTAGTAGCAGCTAGTTGAGGGGTACCGGGTTCGTTTCCCGGTTCGAGGGCAAGTGTTAATTAAATATAAATTCGTTCTCAGCCATTGGGAGGGTTGTGCGGTACCGGGCGAGTGCTTTAACCGTACATGGAGGACACGGTCGAATTTCTAAGGCAAGCACCAATAATAAAAATCTTATACTTGACGCTGGCTAATGCACAAACCGTGCCAGAGCCATAAAGGAAAAAAAAAGTGATAATGTCGAACGACAGTAGTGAAACCAACTTTGTAATTATTAATCGCGTTGAATCTGCGACATATATATTAACAGTGTTTTTAGTTAATAACACTTCGTTGCGTAGAGAAATATAATACAATTGACATAATTTAATGAAAAGGGGAGCAACTGGCGGGCTTTTCGTTATCGAGCGATCTCTTCCAGGAAACCAATGTGAGAAAAAAAATTACGCAAGCGAAAGAAGTGCAAAAATACATAAGACATATAGTTATTAAGACAAAATAAAGCAATTAAAACATATGCAAACAGTGAACAGGACATTATTAAAAAAAAGGACACAATCACGATAATTTTAGATCAGTTTCACATCAGTTAGTACGAATGTTAGAGATTTAAACGAAGATAGAGAAGGAGCTAAGCTAATAGGGACGGGAAGTGAATTCCATAGCCTCACTGCAGAGACCTTAAAGGATTCGCCAAGAAAGGAAGAGACATGGGACATGACATGGGGAATCAAGTGTTTGTACCCCGACTGTACTTTCAACGCTTGATGAATCCCATACTTTTAAATATATCACAGTAATTAAATTTAAAGGTCTATTTTTTTTTCATTTTGAAGGGTTGTAGCGTCATTTGTATATAATTTCTGGAAAAATTTCAATGTCTTAGAACATAGGTCGAACTAATACTAAAGTTTCTTGAAAATGTTTCTAACATAAATATATCGAATCAAAATACCTGATGTACAGCATCCAGGAACATGAGGAATGTCGGAGTGAATCCCTGCTGAGGTGTGGCTCCCAAGTTTAATCTCTGTTGAAACTTATGGCCTAAGGCCAGCCATTCCTTCTCTATTAATATCCGAAATCCATCGATTGTCCGGTAGTAGGGGTCTAGGCAAATTTGGGCTAAAGACGAAATCTGAAATCAATCGAAAATCATTTATTAAACCATTGTAAATTTTATTAATTTTTAAACGTAAAAATAATCCAATATTTTAGGGGCTTCAATCGTCCCGACTAACAAACTAAGTAAAAATTTGTTCATTTATTCTTGTACCTATTGAAGATAGTTTTTAAGTCTATTGCAAACAATTGTGTTTGAATCTTTAAGATTATCAAATTACTCTGGAAAATAATTGTAAAATTATACTAATTACCTGCGCACACGCATCCCATCCGTCCTCAAGCGAGAGAAGGACGGAGGATCCTTGCACGTCCAAGAGATCGAGTACGCACCCTGACAATTGCAGTACTGTACGCAATTGCCATAGCCATCCCGATTCCTCAACTAATCTGAAATTTTAATAAAATGTCATATTATATTTTAAGCTGATTCTCAAGAATACAAGTCGATATAACTGATGTGTGTGTGTTTATTTATACATTAATTCATTTGGACAGCAAACCACGTATAGAAGAGAAACATCCTAGGCAAGTTTGTAATATTAATGTCAGTTTTTGACAGATCTAAAGCATAGATTTTTAACATAATTAGTTACGTATACGTATTCGGGTTCGTATACGCACTCGGAGCCGAACAATCGTTTATAAGGCCTTTTGCATACAGTTAACGAGCATTTTTATTTAAATATTTTAAAACGCATGTATTTTTAATTTTTCTCATGAATTTCTTAAAAACAATTTAAACTAGCTTTGATAACAAATTAAAAACGTAAGGATTGACCGTAATTTGTTCATAGATACATTCGCGCCTAACACAAACACACAATGAAATGCCATACATATATTTATAGTCCATACAACTTACTTATAAAAGCTAGGTTCAGGCGACGGGGCGGAGGGCGCTGCGGCTCTCAACAATTTCTTGAAGGCATGTTTAGTGGCTCTGTTATCCGGGTACTCGGCAGGTACGGGTTCGACTCCCGCTGGCCAACCAGCCCCGGCGCCTTTCTCCGTCACTACGTACAATGCTGCGCGCCGTACACCGCTCGTCTCGCCCGAAGCTGTCGAGCAAAAATGTTTTGTTAACCAACGCGTGTCTTCTAAGTGTCTTGGTAACGTTAAATTCTGGGTCGGAAGCGGTAAAACAGTAATGAGGCATAGACATGCCCTTTGGTACGTTAAGGCCAAAATATTTTTTTTTACAGAACTGGACAGAAGTTGAGCCACAATCCCACCTGATGTTAACTGAGATGCGGGTTATCGGAAGGCATGCCTGTCTAGAAGATGAAGGAAGATCAAAGTGGGGACAAATGAGGTCCTGTCCCCTTGTCTATATTATATAGTAATACATCGAGTCTTAAATAATTCAGAATTTCTAAAGCGGTTTAGACTACGTAAATTCTAATTCAAAATTTGTGAAATAAAAGTATCATCAGAATAATTTTTTTGTCTAATGTTGATGCTGACGATACTTTTAATCAAATCCTAAACTCACCAGAATCAACTTCAGCCGTCGACAGTCTTTGTCGAGGGGCGTACAACTCCAGATGTGAGGCCTGTCTTCTATCCTTGAGGGAACCCCATCTTCCAAAATGTCTGCCTCCCGTCGCACTATTTCCACCCTTTCCACCACTATTTCTGCCAAGAACTCTGGAAGTTATATCTCTCCATAAATATGAAAATATTAATTATTAATATACTACTTTGTACTATAATTATTATTATTATAATATATATATATATATATATATATATATATATATATATATATATATATATATATATATATATATATATATATAATGGTATCGATCGCTTATACGAGTACTGGGGATAAATAAGGCGCAACTGCGTTTCTCTGTGAATACAAAAGAAACAACATTTAAAGCCTCTATTTTAGGTTTTATAAAATAAAATAATATAAAGAAAAAATTAAAACATCTTACATCTATTATGTCAAGTGACAAATAAAACATCGTCGATCAGACGGCAAAGAAGAAAAATAAAATATAAAAGAGTTTGTATAGGAAAATATTAAATATTATGTTTTCCTTACATATATATAAAGAATAATTATAGTATAGTATATTATTATCTTATATATAAAATTCTCGTGTCACAATGTTAGTCTGCATACTCCTCCGAAACGGCTTGACCGATTCCTCTGAAATTTGGTAAGCATATTGGGTAGGTCTGAGAATCGGCTAACATCTATTTTTCACACCCCTAAATAATAAGGGTGGTCCACCCCTCAATTTTTTTTTCATTTTTTTGACAAAAATTTTTTTTTTATTTTTTTATGATACGATATTCAAAAATACATACAACCCTAAGTTTTTGCCCTTCTATCACCAACCCCTATTTTTTATTATAAATGATATACGAGTACATGGCAAAACGACGTTTGCCGGATCAGCTAGTACTTTATAAAAATAATTACTCGAAAAGGTACATAATGCTGATACAACTAATTCTTAAAAACCACTGTTCTGACAGAATGGCTCACGGCATCAAGAAAATCTCACCCCAATGTCCCAGCAGCCTTGGTGAGCAGCGGAGTATGGTTGTGATGCTGCTCGTCACAGCAGAGCAGAAGAGAATCTAGGCTTAGGCTGGAGTCTTCGAGCTCACCGCGTGACGCGGGCGTCAGATTGACTAGAGTTGACAAAAATCTCTCCTACAGACAAATATTAGTGATCAAACCATCTATTGGGATAAATATACTTTTACGTGCAGTGGCAAATTTTATAAGTATAGTTATTTACTTTAAAAATGAACGTAAGTCCAAATTAATTCAGTCAAATTGCAGATTTTAATGAAACTACGCATTTGTCTCTTTTCATCACAGCGTAAATATAATTTAACAAAAAGAGACAAAAAAGTATTTAGTATTAAGAGTTATTTTCTTTAAATAAATTTCTATCTTTAGTTAAGAATTATTAAGCTAACGTGTAATATTGAATGACTTTAGACGTATTTAAGAAATCCCTTAATTCTGGACAGGTGTCCAGTTAAATAATTTAAAATAGAAAGGGAATATAAAAAAAATGTTACCTGTTCCAAACTTGAGGTAGTTTCGGCCCCGGGCTGCGCAGGCGCAGGGGTCTGATGACTGCTTCCCTTCAACATACCCATCACACCTTTGTGGTGAGACGCTGCTGACCTGCACATTGCCCAGATAAAAAAAATTCTTAAATTTCATTTTGGCTTAATAATCTCTTAAAAATTGCGTGACGTAATACTTGAACGCTCCCATACAGAGAATCATATGTGTTCTTTTCTGAAAGTAAGTTCTAGCCGTGGGCACATGTAACGTTAACATCTTTCTCAATAATTAAAAAGTAAAAAAAATAATATTTCTTTACCTGGCGAGTAAAGCCCGTGTCCGCGGATGTCTCCACGTCAGAACTGGCAGACGATTCTGCCTGTAGCCTCGCGCTGCCCGACGCAACGACTCGTCAGATATACATTCTGGAACCGCCACCACGGCTGGGTAACTGGAATAGTAACGATGAAGGATTCTTACAATTGGAAAACGATTGCCAAATATAGGTAAGAGTGGAGGAAGTTGTGCGGCACCACTAACACGATCTTCAGAAATGAAGAGCGCGACTGAAGAAGACAATTGTAAAGAAGAACTGGAAGACCCAAAGTTTCTACGAGGAACGGAAATTCTAGTAGTAACAAAGTAAATTAATAATTAGAATAATTATTATTAATTAAAAGTTTTATTATTTATTTGTATTGATTATTAATAGATTTCAAATCTATATGTTAAACATTTGAGTATGTTTGTAGCGTACACGCTACGTATAATGCTAACTCTACCTAAGAAATCTGTAATGTATGTTCATAATATTCTCCACGTATTACAGTACTCCAAGGTTCGAATTGTAGTCAGAAAAATTAAAATGTCTGAATTGTGAGTAAAGGAATTAATATAGTTTTTATGTTTGCCCGTTAACCCGTTTGCTAAGTTACATAATTGTATGTTTGACCACAAATTTCTCAGAAACTAAAATTCTAATCACGATGATCTTTCTTAATTTATAACACATATATTCCAACTTATGGAATAGTCAACAAAATACATTCAGTAGTTAAAATATTCACAATTTCAAATAAACACCAAAATATTTCTCGAGATGGTTCAGTCTTTTTGTACCAATTGAAGCAATCAAATTATGAATCTATACTTATTATATTGAGCAATAATTAACTTAAATCACGGATAAATCTAAAGCAGGCTATCTACTAAATATGGTTAAGATTAAATAACATTTACCTTCTACACAAGGTATACACAGCATTGGCGTGCGCGAGTCTAAAAGGAGCGCTGGCCAATCCGAGCCTCGTCCAATCCCTCGCGTACGCACGTTCACGCACGCGCTCCAACGTACGCGCTGCAGGCGCCTCTGCACTTTCACTGCTGCCTAAATCCAGTTCCTCCACTGAAATATCATAACCGATAACCCTGAATTTATAGACAATTGATTTACGAATATAATCACATTATAAGGCTACGCAAATAATCGACACCCAACTGCTCTCTACGTTATCACCGCTACACAAATACGTAGGCTCGTATACACACACACACACAATTAATTAAATTTCTACTGGATGGACTTGAGTATTCCGTCAAAACTAGAAAGATTTTTCCCAAAATCAAAGATCAACTATACATTCATAACTATTTAAATTGTATACAAACTTACAAGACAATGTGTCAGCCGACAAGGACGACATGAGAGGTGGCGAAGTGAGAGATCGCGCATCTGCAGATGGCAGCACGTACTTCTGACGTTTCGATGGCTTGGGTTTGAGTCCCGCGCGACGAGCTGTTTTTAGGAGAGTCTTCTTCGCAAAACCTCTGGGAATAATTACAGCACATTGTAATAATATCACAAGAGATAACATGAGGGTGTTTCCGGAATAGTTGGTGCCGGAGCCCAGCGGCAGACGCCAATTCCATCAGCTCTAAATTTAAGCAAATAATGTCGGTGATCTGCTTGATTACGCACCTGAGAGGCTACTGTGTAGGGGAGGGGTCCTATGTATTAAAATAATGTCACAAACATTTAGTTATTACGTATTAGTTATTTTTTATTAAAATGCCATCACCAGGAAAAGCGTAAATGCTTTTAAAAATTAATAAAAAGAAAATTAAGACAAATTTAAAAAGTTTGGCCCATGGCAGAGTAGTATTGCGATACTTATTCGTTGACCGAGGAAAGCAAAAGTTCTGAGTTTTAAAATAATTAAGAATATCAATTTAATTATAAGCTTGTTGCTTATATAACAGGCCCAATCTGCATGATAAGCAGATCAAGAAAATAATTAACACTATATAAAATGGTAATAAGTTTATATACTGACTTGAGCGTATGATGCTTGGGCGGGGCGAGGGCGGGCGGAGGCGCGGCTCTAGGCGCCAGAGCGAAGTGCAGCGAGGGATGCTGCGGATGCCGCTGACGAGCCACTTGCTTGCGGAAGGCTTCAGCCTGCTCACTGCTCACCTCCTCGTCTAAGGCCACCTGCAAGGTTCATTGCTCAATTAGATTGCTATGGTGAAAACTTAAAAATTCATGCAAATAGTTTTTTTTAACAAATATGTCTCGAACTCCAAATAGTTCTGTAAGAAATTTATATATTTTTGAGCTATTGCATAGATTTCGCAGGCTTTGAGCGCGGCGACCGAATCAAGAAATTCCGTAACGCCTTACGTATACGTATACGCGTTAGAGCCGGTGCAGGAGGCACGCGTTAGAGTGTGACAGACTATATAGCCGTGTTAGTCTGAATCTGGTAGAGTGGTACATTGAAATAATATTTAAAAAAATTAATTCATATCAAAGAAAAAAAATACTGCATAAATAAAAAATCTATAAATTACCGTGGCAGTCCCCGAGTGCCACACGTTTTTCTTTGTTTCTATATTTATTTGTCAAATATGTCTTTATGGTATATATTCTAGGTATATACAGTCTAGTATCTATAGTCTAGGTCTCTCACAGGTTTTATTAAGGTATCGCGGTAGTCCATCGATATCTATACGTAGTTGGTCCCAAAGTTCTGTCACTAGCACATTATTTCTACATTTCGAGCAGGATTTTATAAAAAAATTATTGCATTCTATTTTGGAATGTTTGATTATTGTTTTAAAACAAAAAACAATAACTTTCCGTAATTTTTCACGATGGAGTGGACATTGAAAGTAAACCGAGTAGTTGTTATTGCGTTGCACCGCTGTGGACACTCGCCGAGTACCATTTTCAAGTTGCTCAAAAATTTGAATATAACGCTTAGGTTTGTGTACGGTACTATTGATAGGTACCTTGAAGTCTCCAGTGTTGAGGACAAGAAAAGAACTGGCTGGCCACGCTCCGCAAGAACACCAGCAGTAATCAAAGCTATCAAGGCGCGGATAGTAAGAAATCCTGTCCGAAAACAGAAGTTGATGGATTTGCAGATGGGTGTCAGTAGGAAAACAGTAAAAAAGGTTTTAAATGAAGATCTTGGTCTACGAGCATACAAAAAAGAGTGGGCACTTACTTAATGCTCGTCTAAAAGCAATAAGGCTTAAGAGATCGCGGGTGTTGTTTAAGCGGTACGCGAAAAACCGACACCGTGATATCCTCTTTACGGACGAAAAATATTTCGATATTGAAGAGAAGTACAATAAACAGAATTATACAGTGTACGCTAAGAGTTCTGAAGAAGCTGAAAATAAAGTTCCAAGGGTGCAACATGGACATCATCCATCATCAGTAATGGTTTGGTTGGGAGTGTCCTATTACGGGCTAACTGAGGTTAATTTTTTCGAAAAGGGGGTCAAAACCAGTGCTACAGTGTACCAAGAGACGGTTTTGTATCGCCTTGTCAAAGACATGTCCAGCACCCTATTTGTGGGACATCACTTCGTGTTCCAGCAGGACTCTGCGTCTGCATACAAAGCCAAGACCACTAAAGCCTGGTTTGAGCGTCAAAACATCGTCTTAATTAGACATGAGGATTGGCCTTCCTCCAGTCCGGACCTTAATCCTTTGGACCAGAAATTATGACAGGGCTTAGAGAGGAAGGTCTGTGATAAACCTCATGAAAATTTGGAGAATCTGAAGTCATCTTTAAAAAAACCAGTGACTGAAATGGACACGAATATGGTGCGTGCTGCGATAGACGACTGGCCGCGACGCTTAAGGGCCTGTATTAAAAATGAGGGAGGTTATTTCGAATATTTTTATGCTTTTTTTATTCCTTAATTAATGTACTAAGAATTGATATATCACTCATTACAAACTGATCAGTACTTTTGTTTTTATCATTATTTCCATTTATGACAGAACTTTGGGACCGACTACGTATATGAACACAATTACATTGTTTAAATAAAAGATAAAAATACCTTAATAAGCTGTGAAGTGGCGGATCTCAGTTGCAGTCCGTCGTGAAGTGCGTGCTCGAGATGCGCCTGTGTGCGTACGCCTTTTTCACGTGTCAACGCACACACAGGAAACGCACGGACTACGCTTTGCTCACAAGCTGAAAGGCACGTTGTTATATTTTGTATCGATTAACCAGTAAGCAATTAACATTTAATATTTTCCTTACATATTAGAAATTGGCGTTTTGTCGTACCGGCCACTTTGACCTCAGATATCTCCTCTTTGGGAATTTAGATTTTTTTTCTAAGACACCCATCGTACTCCCCAAACTTAAAAAAGATTACCATTTTTTTTCGAATTTGGATAACTTCTTAAAAGATTTGATTGATTTCCGTCCCAATGGTTTTTTTAGTAAATGGATCAATGAACTACTTATAAGACGGCAAAAGTGCATAGATAGCAATGATGCAAAAAAATCTACTTTTTGTTCTTCCCATATCCCAATTTCATATGTAAGGACCTAATATTTAATGAATCTATTGTACTATTCTTTTTATTAACATAGAACAATCCAATTTTTATTGATTGACTTATTGTTATTAAAAATAATTAATAATTAACAAGTGAGCCTGAAAGGTATTCCAGAAGAATCAGTAGAATTGTAATTTTTAAAACTAAAAAAAATCTTACCGTACGGGTCAACAGGGGTGCCCTTAAAAATGACCCTGTAATTGGTGAGGAACAGGGCTCCCTCAGCGGGCAACAACGGTGCCTCTCGCCCATCTGCCACCAGTAATGCTCGTAGGGCGGGCGCCGTTACTGCCTCACCACTTACTAGGGCGGGAGATACTATACGTGGCTGGAAGTAATTTTAAAGAGCAACTGCAAATTTTTTCTAGACTAATTTATTTAGGAATCCCTTCCCCGATTGTTCCATGTGCCTCATACGAACGCGAATTATTGTAATTCGCCAATGTTTCGGGTTTTAGCTAACTACAATACAATTTATGAAGATGTTGACATTTTCCACTTTACCAAGGAGTTGTGAGAAAATATTTTATGAAGCAGGAGGACTTTGACTTTATTTAGCAGTAGTAACTTTAGGCGCATGAGGGTAAATTTTTTACGGAACGTCACGAAGATGTGCAGCGTTTTTGTCGAAGAAAAGGGAGAGAGCGATTGAGACCGAAGAGACCGAGAATTCTAATTTTAAAATTAAAATTACGTAAAGAGAATTTATTAAATATTAGTATTTTATATTTTGTGCAAAATAATTAATTGAAATCTCAAATGACGAATTGTAAATTAAAATGCCTCGTGTTTATTATCGAAGAAATAAATTTAATTTATTATTTGTATTACTTTTCGACACTTAATATTTTAGTGACAATTAAATTCATTAAATTCCTAACATATCTTCCTTATTCCCTCCCTCTAAGTCTCGGAAATCTAAAGTTTAAGATTTGTATAAATAAGAACAAGGCTTAAATATTAGTTGGCCAAAGAAGTTTCACTTCTGACATATGTACTTTATGTATATGCACTTTTCTTTCAAATATTAAGTTGTTGTTAGTTGAATGATTAATTTAAGTTTTCTTTTTTTATCTTTTAATGTACTTAATTGACTTATGCTTTCTGTTTCGTATATTTTGTTTACCAATGTAATCTGTTTTGGCTTTGTATATTGTCTAATTGTTTTCTTTTATAAAATGTATTTGTAGCTGAAATTAACTTATTAAAAAAGAAAAAAATATTTTTTGTGCCAAATGAGAAATGTTTGTATGAGAAATACTGTTATAGATAAATATTCTTACCAATGAACAACGTATATTTAACAATTAAACAAACAAAACAAGGAAAAACATACCTTGTGTACGGGAGGTAAACGTCGACTTTCTCGTGCCACAGCATCCAGCGTTTCCAAGTGCATGTGAACCACGCCTGGAATCATCTGATGCAGGCACCGGATGTGATCTGCAGTCACTCCTCCCTCTGTACACACCTGAAAACAGTTCCTATATCTAACTAACCGACAAGAAATCATAGTTTAAAAACCATAAATATTATTGCTGCAATTATTGACCATCTTTGTGAGAGGCTGGTGCCTATAGAAGTCATGGCCACCAGCCTTGCATCGCAGATAGAAAATATATTAAAAGTGGACTACAACTATGACTAAAGGAAAAGCATAAGTATCTGTGGGTATGTGTAAATATGTGTGAAATAATTAAATTTAAAGTGTAGTCATTTGAGGTAGACTTTTAATTTAATTAAGTAGAATCAAAACATTTTTAGGAGATCAAACTAACCTATCATAGTTTCTATCTATTTGTTAAAGCAATATAATACCCAATAGGCATTATTTATCAATCGTGAATTAAAATAACAAAAAATAATAATAATAATAATAAAATAATATTATTATATACTTTAAGAACCAAAATCTCGAGCACATCTAGAAATTTGATTCCCTCAATAGTCACATCTACTGCTAGCTAAAACATTCATTTACGGAAAATTCAGGCGATTACCCGTTAATGTAGTACCTTATCAACAAATCTGGAGACCATCTTGATAACGTTGTTTCCCGCTTCGCCAGGGTCTGCCTCCTCAAAGCCGGATTCTGCATCAGCACTATCTGATTCCGCTACACTAAAGTTAAGAGAGCTTTGTTAACTTTTAAGAAAAACCAATGCATAGACGAGTTTTACAAATTTTATAAAAACTGCTTATTTAATTCGACTTAGGGTCCCTTTAAGAAAAGACCGTACCAATTCCTAAAAGGCCGGCAACGCACCTGTCTCCCTTTGGGTTAAAGGAACTGTCCACCATCCTTCCTTCACAAATCTTAATAATGATTTACAAGCCAAAAACCTTTATAAAAAAACATAAAGAACATTACCTATTGCTAACACTATTAGTGCCTCGATCGTCATCCGGCCGGACATCCGCTCTTCTCCCGGCGCCCTCTAGCGGCAAAAGCAAATACACCATACGATTCGCGTAGTGTATGGCCTGGCTGTATAGGGTCGACTCCTCGCTCGCTATCAGCTCCGCTTGCTTCTCTGGAATGTACACGTACTACAACGATATTCTGACTATTCTTTAGCGTTGGAGCTGTTACGCAAATAGGAGTTATAGGATAGATTTCTTAAATTCAGTTTCATTTATAACTGTCGATGTTCCGCGTGAAGGATAGCACAGTTATGGCGGGGTTAATTAAAAAGTATTAAAGAGGGTAGTTACTTATTGTAGTGAAACTTCTTTAGCATGAGGGTAAAATTGTTAAAAAACGTCACGAAGATGTGCAGCGTTTTTGTCGATGAAAAGGGACAGAGCGCTTGAGAGAGAGTGAGAAAGGGCGAACGTAGCATGAAGCAAATAGCCATGGAGCGAGAGTAGGGAGCAATCAAGTGAGAAAGATCGGAGGATGAGATAGAGCGAACGTCGCATCACGCACAGTGCCATGGAGCGAAAGGTGGGAGAGAGCTATAGTGAGAAAGATTGAGAGTAGAGGATTGATAGAAAGGGAGAGCGAGAAAAAATACCGTTGATGTATTCGTTTAGTAGTTACATATTAGAAATTTAAATGGCAATTCTGTCGCATAACGTCTTGTGCAGTAAACGCTAATTTTTAATTTATTTATATTATCACTAGCACGTATACAGTGTGTAAACAGTGTGAATATAGGATATATAAATACATGGAGTGATCATATACTGGTACATTATCATCTACTAGCTGGCCTGGCGAACATCGTACCGCCTAACAGTCGATTCTTTATTTGTTTAAAATACTTATTCTGCTATTCGGGACACCGGTCTAGGTAGTAAGATAAAAAAAAAGAAAATTGATAAGACAATAAATACATTATGTCAAAAAATAAAAATTTACCTTCCCGTAACCCCTCCACTAACACTTGAACTATATGGTATGGTATTAAAGTTCAAATTGACTTTTAAGTATTATAACGAATATTTTGTATGGGAATATAGAAAAGTGTTGTTTTTAGACTTTTTCACTCAATTTTTTTAATTTTTCTCCTTAAGAACCATCCTCGTACTTTAAGGTATATTATTTAAAAAAATCAGATAAATCGGTCAAGCCGTTTTCATGTTATGTCGTGACAACGGAAAACGGGTTTCATTTTTATATATATAGATTAGGGCTTTTACCTTAGTAATAATTAATTTACAAAGAAGTTTCACTTCTGGACATGTGTACTTTGCACGCACTTTTTTATAGTATTATTGCTTACCGGAAGCCAGGGTCGGCCATATTCTCATCTGTTCGGCCGCTATCTCTAACGCACTTGGCTCTTGCGCCTTCAACAATGATATGTATTCTTCATCTTCTCTGAAACAAGATTGTCTTTTAGTCTTTTATTTTTATCGCATTATTTGCATAATAACTGTACTTTACGAAAGAAAATATTTGCCGGGACTTTCCCCAGTTTTTCGAAAAGTGAAATGGCAAAAAAAAAACTGTGTCTAGTTAATGTTTATCACTACCACTACACTATTGTCAATTTTTTTCTTCTTCTATTAATACTTGTATATATCACCGTAAAATTGTAAATACCAGTTAACGATGTTGTAATGTATCTCGCGAGATTATGAACTGTCGAAAAATTGTGAACCTCGACGTACTGCTTACAATTTAACGTATTATTATCCGATAGATTGTAATCTATCGAAGTGAAACCGTCAAATATGCGGGCCCCGCGCCACCATATTTATTGGTTAATTCGTTTGTTGTCGAATGTATGCCGTTCAACCAATCAGCGCGCGAGGTGCGTTCCGTTTCACAATTTGACATGTCTTAGACCCAAAAAGTCGACGGCGTGTGTCAGGCACTGGAGGCACGATCACCTACTTGCCTATTAGATTGAAAAATGATCATGAATAGATTCAGAAATCTGAGGACCTGACCTAAAGAGGTTGTAGCGCCACTGTCTACCGCCACACCATTAATTTTTATCACAATTCCCAGGTTACAGAACTAGCAGCAATTTCAAAGATTACCTGGGGCTGGGCACCCGTTGGTGATGCGTTGGGCTCGGCAGGTAAAAAGCCTTGATATCTTTCTGTACGTCTTGATAGAACGCAGCCTCCCAGAACTGCTGACTCGTCCATACTGCATGTTCCTGGACAGAATTGTAGTATTATAAATGCTACACTATCTCTGAGTAACGGGCTATAATTATTGTGAAGATTTATTCTGTTCCCGGAAAAGAACAAAACAAATGTCAAAAGAACCAATAATGAAACTTCTAGAATGTACTATATAAAGTGCATATGCGGGATCTTTTTAAATGTTAATAAATATTTTAAATACCTGTATACACATATAGGCGTACTGAATGACGCCCGTGCACAGTTTTCTGCAGTACGCGGTCGCTAGAGGAAGAACGGCCGCCGCTATCGTGTGCTCGTCCAACGCCGTCGCTGATTGGAGAGCGCAGTTTAGTAACCTGAAAGAGATATATAATATACAACTTTTGTTTAGTGAACTCACAAGTTCAACCTGTGGTCGTTGCGAATGCAAAAGAAAGAGAAAAGGAGTATTTAAATATCTGTAATCTTTTAGTATGCTTAGATTTTAAATGTCTAAAATTCTGTCTACAGATTAAGTGCCAATGTGTTCGGAAAATTGGAAGAGTTATGTAATGGTATATTTAAACAAATGAGAGAAAAACATAATGATTTTCTATAATCTTTAAGAATTATTTAGTGTGTGTGCCAATGTAATAAATACAATATTTTGCTTAATTTCTGTACTTTTACGTCTCGTTTTAAGTCTTTGAATAATGAGCAGAAGTTATGGTACCTGAAGGAATATTAAAAAATTGAAAGAAAACCATGCACTTATTTTTCCATTCTACATTCTTTTTGAATTCATAAATACACCTACACTAAAAATATATGTGTTTTGTCAAAGAGAGCTATTACAGTTCTCGGTCCACGATCTCTTGTCACTAAACAAACAACAAATTTATCAATTTAACTCTGAAACCGAACCCCAAAAGCCTCCAAAGGAAATATTGACCATGTAACAATACAATAGTAAAACGGATATTCAAACTTCGCGTTTGTCACGGAATGAAGATACTACCTGTGATAGGAATTAATCGACGTATTTATATATGGCGAGTTCGTTGCGAGTAATATTCAAAATGTTTGTCCTATTTTGTATTACGGCGTTGCTTTGCGCCATTAATTACGCCCACGCTAATATGGATGGGGTAAGATATTGGATATTAAAAATATATAATGTTTATTTATTTATTTATTTATTAAGCTTACGACATCACACACAGTACTAAATTTAATAATTATTTTACAAAATCTTATATCTAAAATGTGTAACAATTAAAGTGAACATAAGTTTCACAAAAAATAGAAATTAAAAAATACAATTAAAACATATACAAGATAATACAAGCACACAATAAAATACACTTCTGGACACATCTATTGGCCCACCTTGCATTTTAAGTTTCTTTTAGTCCTACCTAAAAATTTATATTAGGTCGAGTAAAAAGTTTTATGCAGTTTTGAACCTGATACATTTTACCATCTTTTTCGATCGTATTGTTTTAAATTTGAATTTAGAATACCACACCACATGGAGATACGCCTAACAAGTTGGGTATGCGCCTTGATGAAGTCAGTTGATTTTTGAATAAAAATCGTGTTTTATCAAATAAAGGTTTAATTTCATAACGCGTGTTGCCTCCATGGGCATCTACGACAGCTCTCATACGATTAGGCATAGAGTTTATCAACCGCTCTATGAAATTTTGAGGGATCATCTCCCATTCCTCTTCTATGGCAGTTTTCAATTCCTGCATCGTCTGGGCAACTGGCTGACGAGCCCTAACACGTCTTTTAGCTCGTCCCACATGTGTTCAATGGGGTTCATATCTGGGCTTCTGGCTGTCCAGTCCATAACTGCGATGTTCACATCCCGAAGATATTCTCTGCCGATGCCGGCCGTATGGGCTCTTGCATTATCATGCATAAAAAGGAAATTTGGGCCCACATAGTCCTCATATGAGGACGTGAGGTTCTAAGCACTCAAGAATGTACCTTTCAGCATTTAATGTTGGCAGCCGTGGTCCCGTAACAACCTCAAGTTGAGTTTTGCCGCTCGCGGATATACCGCCCCAGACAGTCCATGCCATAAGCAACCCTCTCTTCAAAACAGCATTGTGCAAAACGCTCTCCCTTACGTCGGAAGACCTTCTTCCTTCCATCATTGCCATGTAACGCAATTTTAGACTCATCAGAAAAGAGTACACCGTTCCAATGCTGCTGAGTCCAATTTAAGTGTGAGCGCGCGAAATGAAGGCGCGCTATTCGGTGGGCTCGCGTTAGTTTTGGGCCATTAGCTGGCTTGTGTGGTACCATATCGCGTTCTTTTAATCATCTCCGAACAGTTCGAGCGCTCACATTTACTCCATGGAAGTCGCGAAGTTGGTTTTATATCTCAATGGAGGTAAGGTGACTATTTCTCAAGCTGTTCGTCACGATGAATCGATCCTGCCTTTCAGTTGTGACCCAAAATCGTGGCCTTCCTTGGCGACGAACACGATACCTAGAGACTGGCGGCTTAGTCTCTAGGTATCTCCGATAAACGTTTCGGACCGCAGATCGACTTAAATTAAGTTGATCACTCACATTTCTTTGGCTGTGTCCGGCCCGGATAAGTGCCTCAGCTTGGGCGGCGACTTCAGGCGAAGTATCCATAGATTATTGATAGAACCTCATCTTAATGTTAAGAATAAGTAATGTTTGTTGCAAAACCAAAGAGAAAAATCACACTTTCAAGAATTAAATCAAACTAAACCAATAAAATCAAGTTTTCTTAGTATTCGATTGTTTGATATCAATGAGCAGGCTCCAAATTGTCTTTTGTTTATTTAAATTCTGTGTTCGAAATTAAAAAAAATATATTGAATGCAATTATGAATGTGCCAGGTTCAAAACTGCATAAAAACTTTTACTCGACCTAATATAAATTTTTAGGTAGGACCAAAAGAAACTGAAAATGCAAGGTGGGCCAATAGATGTGTCCAGAAGTATAGAATAGAATTATAGAAATTTGTTGGCACCTAAAGCAAAAAAAAAGGAAAAATTATCAGCAAAACAGTAAATTAGGTTCGAGAAAGATCTTTTCATGCTTTTAATTGCACCTCACTTCAATTATAAGCTTTTAAACTATAAACAAAGCTCTTCACTTCTCGGTAGAACACTCTTTTCAAAATGTAAAGTTCAGCTGCTTGTTTATAAAGGCAAAACCCAATTTGATTCTACTACCTCTAAGCTAACCTAGGATTCCTAAGGGTAAGTCTCTAGGTCATTTATAGTAATTGGATTAGAGTCAATAGGGTAAAATATGAAGAGGTACTTCGTCGAATACTCTGTATGTTTCACAGAAAGAAGAAACTTTAATATTCACAATAAAAGGATATTTAGTTAAAAAGAAAAGTGCATTAACACTAGGGGTGAGATCTATAGTGCGCACTTAGACTTTGCTCTGACTTAACTATCGAGCTAAGACACAGTCGGTATTTATAGAGCAAACTACGAATCTCTCCCTAGTGTTGGCTTAGCTTAATCTCAAGTCCACGAAATCGACGACTTACCAAAAACTTTGACTATAAGCCTAACAAAAATAATGGCCCAAAATTTTCTTTACCATCATATCTTTTACTGGACTTTTTATTTTTGTCGGTTTTTAATGAACGGTGTTGCCATTTTGTATCGGAGTTCCATAGACTTTGGGAAAAATAGAATTTGAATTCAAAGAAATTATAAATGATCTTGATAAATACCTATGAAATGCATGAAATAAAATAATTACACATTATTATGGTATTTATTGTTGTTTATTTATATTATTTATGTAATTGTTCAAACCCCATTTTTGAGAAATCTTAAAAATAACTGGTGTGATTTTGTATGTCACCTGGCAGCCCTGGCAATTGGCATATTATAGTGACAACGAAATTCAAACTATAACCTAACCAAAACATTGCGATCCGTTCTACGTAATAAAATTATTGTCATCTTTAAATAATTAATACATTTTCTAAAGGTTACTCGTGAATTTCTAGTTATTGCAATAATAAAATAAATGAATACATAAATAACAATAAATTGAAGATATATGTGTACCGTTTTAGATTTTTAAATATTTGTTATTGTTAACTTTTTTAAAGGATAATAAACAAAGTATTGCATGAAATGAAACATCAATTTGTATTTTGACATTTTCTGTCTTAGCTTGGGCTTAGCTTAATCTCACCGTTAAAATGTCTATAAATACGAAATCATAGTTTAACCTTAGTGTACACTAAGCAAAGTTTTTCGTAAGGTAAGTCTGAGCAAAGTCCAAGTGCGCACTATAGATCTCACACTAAGATTCCCTGTGTCGTGGGCAGTCAATCTCTCCCTTTTGACATGTAACGGTACTTGACTGTGCGGCAGTGTTGGCCTAATGGCTTCAGCGTGAAACTCTCATCCCTGAGGTCGTAGATTCGATCCCCGGCGGTGCACCAATGTACTTTCTATGTGCGCATTTAACATTCGCTCGAACGTTGAAGGAAATTATCGTACGGAAACTGACACGTCTTAGACCAAAAAACTCGACGGCGTGTGTCAGGCACTGGAAGCTGATCACCTACTTGATTTAAAATGATCATGAAACAGATTCAGAAATCTGAGGCCACTGGTATTTATTTATAACGGTACTTGACAATAATGTTTAAAGAACTTTATTTCTCATTACAAAAATTATTTATTATTTACATGAGAAATTTAATATATACGAACGAGATACACGTCGCCATCAGCTAGCCCAATTTTAGTCTAATGGGCTCATTCTGATGTGTATCTTTAATGCCCTTTTGAACTGATTAATCACGCTAATGATACGAACCTTAGACGGCAACTGATTAAACAATTGCACACCTCATACCTAATAGACCTCTTTAAATAATTTGTGCGCGGCTTTGGCAAGATAAGCAATTGTGTGTAGTGGTGTATTTGATTTTATTAAATAATTTAAACATAACAGGGCCCTGGTCTATGGTTTGTCCACGGAATAAATAATTGCGATGAAGAACTGCCACGAGTCGCCGCCAACATCACGGTCAACAAGCACAAACTGAATCGTACGCATGACGTATATGATGCAGCATTGGACGTGTATGAAACCGTAGGCGATGGCTATGGGGTAATATTGTAGAAATAATTGGATTAAGATACTAATGATTCCATCCCTGAGGTCGTAGGTTCGATCCCCGGCTATGAACCAATGGACTTTCTTTTATCACATTTAACATTCGCTCGAACGGTGAAAACATCGTGAGGAAATTCGGCTTGCCTTAGACCCAAAAGGTCGACGGCGATCATTTGAACAGATACAGAAAACTGAGGCCCAGACCTAAAGAGGTTGTTGCGCCACAGATTTTTTTTTTATGTTCAAGTCTGTGTATTGAAAAGAAACAATCCTAGGAACTTTGCCAGTATAATCGAAACGTTGCCAGTATAATTTTTATATAAACCTACCGAAAGTATTTGTACTTCTCTAGGATAGTGGCCACAATTATAGTAATATAGTCTATATATAGATATAAAGGTAAGCTATCGTGACTTTTGTAATACTTTATGAATCCGTAAGATTAGCTTTTTAGTTTATAATATAAATTTTTTGTGGTACTATTTTAGATTCAGGTTGGTGATTCTATAATTTTTTATAAGATTTGTGTATGCACATTACCCGTCATATTCATTTTTTTAGCTTTTTTCCTTAATAGGATTGCCTGGAAGAGCTCGTTTGTCAGCGATACGGCTGCCCGTTGCTTTACTTATAATTTTTATGTATTATGTTATTTGTTTTTCTATAAATTTAATCAAGTGTAAATAAATAAATAATAACAACATGTTTCGTTATTACTTTCAAATGTAATTTATCAATTGTTAATACTGGGCAATTCTTTATTTTAGTGTTTGTTTAAATTTTATTATTGTTTTGATTAATTAATTTTATTACTTCTTGTATGCTATGTTTGCCTGTTAGTGCTTGACACATTGAAAACTGTATTTTATTTTTCTTCTGTCAATGTATTAATGTGCCAAGCGTTGGCAAGCTTTTATAAATAAATAAATAAATAAATTAATTAATTAATTCTGATCAGTTTAATCCATGTAATTTTGTTTTACAGATTTTAATAGACATTTGCAAGCACACAGACGGTGGATGCAAACAAGTTCAAGTTGTCACAGACAATGATATAGGAATGTTTGCCGAGAAATATGCCAAAGACAATATGGAAGTAGCTTTTAGTATGGGAGGAATCGATCCTCCACGTTTTCCTGTCCAACCGGTGAGTATTATTTATACTGATTAAATAGCGGACCCGAGAGACGCTGTACACACATCTTAAAGCGTCCGCACATGGCCCTAAACTCAGTGGCGATATCGGAACAATGGTGGTGGGGATAAAATCGGTAGTTCGAATCGACAGTAGCATAGAGAGCGTTCAAGTATTACGTAACGAATTTTGGGGGGGGGAGGGGTCCTTTTGTAAAACGTGACGATGCGGGCGGGGATTGAATTACGCATTATTGTTAATATTATTTTCGACTTTCCAGTACTTTACACCAAATAATGGTAACTTTTAAGTATAAAGAGTCACTAGGTGGTCACGAAACGTTTTACTATAGTTGGGTACAGAAAAACGTTACGTCTCGTTAAATCTCCAAAAATTGCGTGTCGTAATACTTGAACGCTCCCATACTCAAATTAGGGTAAGATTTGCCTACACATGAGGCGATCTAGGGTGCTCCCCTCGGGGAAGAGACCCCGATATTGCCTCTGATTTAAGGGCCGTGTGTAGACGCTTTTAAATACAACATTTCAAACTAAAGAAATTTACAAAAAAATATCTAACTGTAAATAACCAGACTATTCTCGAATCCACTTAAACTCATCAAAATCGGTACACCCATTTATTGCATTACTGCTTTGTCGGAAAAAAAATCGATCGTTTTGGTCGCAGCAATGTCAATGATGATATCGATAAGCTAATATAAACTCGAAATAAACATATCAACCGATCAACTTCAAAACTTCTAACTGTCAAATTTTGTGTAAATAACACAACTTTTTTTATATATTTATATAGATATGTATTCACTGCATTGCAAGAAAATTCAGGAGTAAGACGTATCGCTTTTTAGTAGTGACGGAACACGGGTAACAGAAGATATTCCGACTGTTTTTTTCTTATGTACACAAGAAAATTGAAAATTTTCCAAATATGATCTGATAGTCTTAAAATTTGTAGGTAGGAATTAATAACTTTGTAGCATTAAGTTAAAGACGTTATTATATAAATCTACTCAAAGAAATCAAAGAAAAAAAAATACCATAAATAAATAACCAATCAGATAAACGTACGTAAATACAATGCCTATTTAAAATCTCTTCTTTCTCTCTCACACACAAGGTTACATTTATAAGAATTTTCAATATCTAATATGATTTCATTTAACGCCATCAGGATTTATTTGTGATAGGATATGCTAGCAAAGAGTTATTTATTAAATTTTTAATATCTACCCTCTTATTCGTAAAAACTTTATTATATTTACACACATTTAACAAAATAACTCTTTCCGTCTCTTTCTGACACTGTGATGAAAAGAGACATATGACAGGCATGATTATTTTAGTTATTTAATATAAATTTAATAAAGTATGATATGTACGTTATAATGTAACATTCCTTAAGGCCCAATCCCAGCACGAATTGCTGTGTCAGTGTCTCGGGGTGGACTGCGGTGCGCAGTGGAGAGGCGCGTCGCGTCGGCCCGTAATAACAATTAGTTATGTAAAACATTAAATTAATGTAATTTTATCATTTTTTTTTCTGAAATGGATTACTTGGCTTGCGATTAAATATATCGTGTAAATTTCAAAATTATGTTCTATATACATTTTCGTCATAAAATGAATTCAAAGTGTTAAAAATTGGCTATGTTTGGATTTTTTTTCTATCGAGCGAAGATATTTAAATCGTGTTTCGATCTTTTAAAATGGATGCATAAACTACTCAACTCCACCATATATTTTTTCCATTCGCCCTACTTCAAGAAACGATGACGAAAAATGGAAAGAAACAATGTACTTTTTTGGAGTTTGGCGATAGGATAGGCCCTTAAGACAAATTTGCGCGCCATTTTGTGTGGCAGATTATGCGAACTTACTATTGTACCTTAACATTTTTGTACCATATTCTTGCAATATATAAATTATTATTATTATAAAACGGTGCAATTAGACTGATCTGTTTGTAACCAATGTTTAAAAATCGGAGGATTATAAAATTAATTTCTTATGAAGGTCACTTTGTCTTTTAAGTGTGACATATGCAAAGAAATAAAATGTTCCAGGGTTCCTACAAAATCGAGGACTTCTACTTCGACCACTGTGAAATGCCAGAGGAGTCCATATACGGGGAGTTCACCGGTGACGCATTTATCGTGAAAGATAACGTCCGCGTGGCGTGTTTCAGGGCACACGTCGAGTTTAGGGAGGAAGAAGACAACATTTGTAACAGGGGATAAAGTTTTATGTTAATAAATAATATCTTCCTATAATTTATAAGTGTACATTTTTTTTAATGACGAATGAATGTATGACGGAAACTTCTCAACTAAAAAAAAAGTGCGTGCGTACAAAGTACACATTTCAGAAGTGAAACTTCTTTGGCAAACTAACTTTTAAGTATTGTTAATATTTATACAAATCTAAAACTTTAGATAGAGGGAGGGAAAAAGGAAGACATGTTAGGAATTAAATGAATTTAAGCGTCATTAAAATTATTTCTTCTATAGTAAAAAGACGTGGCATTTTAATTTACAATTGGTCATTTGAGATTTCAATAAATTATTTTGCATCAAATATAAAATACTAATATTTCATAAATTCTCTTTACGGAATTTCTATAAGGTAATTCACCCTTCTCACTCTCTCTCGATCGGTCTCAATCACTCTCTCTTTTTTCTTCGACAAAAACGTCTACCTTAAAACACATCTTCGTGACGTTCCGTAAAAATTTTACCCTCATGCGCCTGCAGAAGTTTCACTTCAAAAACAAAATCGCTACATCCCTACTAGACCAACACTGCTCTCTTTCACATCTTAAGGGTACATTTTGGTTATTCCTCATAAGATTTAAACACCCAACGGAAAGTATTACTAGTAGTATGATTAATTGAAAATAATGAATTTTGGTTATGAGTCACCATCGCCATCTTGCAATGGCAACATTTATCAACACGAGATTAAACCTTGTGATCTCAACAAACTGAAGCAAAAGTTTATATACCTCACAATAAGATCGAACTGATGATGATGGAGAATATGCTTGTTGGTCGGCAGTCGTGACGCCAGGTCGTTGACGAGCGCGGTCCGTGCGTTCGGCGCGCGTAGTGCACGTAGAACTGCGGGGAAGGATTTGCGTGCGTCTGCGTAACGACATTCGAATATCGCCGCTATACACGACCTTAGCACCTGGAAATTAAATTGATTTATATATTAAAATAAATAATATATAAAAAATGATAGAGTGCCCCATAAAGACATATTAGTTAACAACGCAAACTAACCAAAGTCAAGTAATTTAGACGTTTTGGGGAGATTTTTGTTTGTTTTATATAATAGGGGGCAAACAGGACGCCCAAAAAGGGCAATCATCGCAGCCCATGGACGGCCATTTTTAGTGGGTGTGTTGATGGCCTTTGAGGGGAGGAGTACATTCTAATTTTGAATAGCTGGAGGGCGTATCTCTTAGGGAAGATCCCCACCGGTATTCGATTCCACAGTTCGCTAGTTTGCAAGAAAAATGTCTTGAGAAACGGACTGTGGAAGACTTCCAGCCATCAAGTGATGTTGATACGGCTCGTACGGAGTCGAAACGAGGCAGGTGGGTTGAAGTTAGAATGCAAGACAATATAAAATTAGTGAAATCTTATATTTGAGGTGAGAGAAAACGTTAATTTGGCTTCACTGATACATTATTAAATGACCCTTCTATGATGATATAGGAATAAAATTAAAACTTAAAAAACTGTTAATAAAGCGTTTCATTTCTTAAGTAACACTATTGGACGAAGAAGTCTGATCCGTGTTCTCATAAAGAATATATTTTAGACAAATTATAATTATACATAATGTCGTACCTCAAGCCGTCTCGCAGAGTTAGTGAGTAATAGTTGCGTGAGTTCCACGGCGCCGGTAGGTGGCGCTGCTGGGGGTATTATTCGAGGGGCTGGTAGTCTTATCGCTTGTAACCTGGAATATTACAAAATATCTAAAACGACGAAATCTCAATATGCCTTTTATTTGAATTATTGAAGTTATACTTCTTTAGGCGCGTTATGAAAAATATATGAGAGTGAAATTTTACGATGCGCGCGCACCGTGACACAAAATTAGCAGAATGAAATTGCCCACGGAAGATGCTTGCATAATTTAAAAACAACATTCGAATAATAATAGAATTTATGTTACACTTAATGTAAGAGAATAACAATAAATATTTATTCATTTAATTTTTCAAATGTAAACTGAACTTTATTGACTATAATGACTCCTTTTCCAGTCTTTGATTATTTAGTTGTAATTAATTATTTGCATGCAATCAAAAACTATTTTTAATAATGCCAAAGAAGAATAACTTCTTACGCGCTTACATAAGTACACGCACCCTTTTTTTATTTATTAGTAAACCTTCAGCTAACTTACATATTATAAAACAAAACACTTAGACAATATACAAAGCCAAAACAAATTACAGATACAAGATATAAGGAACAGAAAACATTAATAGACAAAAATTATAATGAAATGAAAGAAAACTGAAATTTAACATTAAGCGACACAAAAACATTACGAACAAGTAGACGAAGAAAATATTATATTATATATAGGGATCCTGTGGAAAAACGGTTGATATTAAAAAATAATGGGTACATATAATTAAAATTTTATCCTTTTAGGATCAGATCCGTCATTCTATCATTTTATTCCCAAGACCTTAGTATCATTTTTAAGGAAGTATAGTGTGGTACTACTGAACGTGTATTGTGAATTCTTTCACCAATAAAAAGCATATACTACTTATGAGTGACACATATAAGGTGATGTATTTGTGTTAATTCACAAAATACTTACTTCTCAAGATTATTAGTGGCGGCTCTCTCGTCTATGACTTGTTGCACTCTGGCAGCGCAAAGCGTGGGTAAAGGCGGTTGGTGTATTCTCGATTCAGCGCCCTCCGGCGGCCGAAGGATACGTTGTTGGAATATCTACAAATATAATGTTAATCGTGTATTCTAACAGATTTCAATTGTTTTTTTTACTTGTTTGACGCTTCCCATGTCAACAATAATAATAAGTAATATATTAAAGTTTATCTGTTAAAATATATTTTATAAAATCAATAATTTTTGGATTATTAGATAGTATTATTAAAACAATATTTAAAAAATCCTAATACAGAATGCATTGTAGGAAAATCCTCGTAAAACCGATTTTTTTAACAAATCAAAATCTAGAAACACGAATTTAATAAAGTTGTTTTGATTAATTTTATAACAACACAATTGAAAAATGTGCAAAATTACGGAAACCTAATCATTGACTAAACAAATCATTATAAATTTCACACTACAGACACATAACTTGAGAAATCTACGCGTTATAGGGGGGATATACGGCGTTATATGGAGGTCGGAAATCGCGTTATACGACGCGTTATTGGGGTACCGTGTTATGGGTTTTACTACATATGTTAACACTTATTGCACCATGTTAGCGTGATTTATAAATATCATTCTTATAAACTCAAAAGGGGTTAAATAATGTTCTGTTTTAATAATATACAAAGTGACATGAGAGTGATGAGGACAAAACCTTCAATATAAGATAAGACATACTTGTGGATTCGGGTTTTCATTGTAATGCAGTTGCATTGCCAACTCCTGTATATGCGATAACTCCAAGTCCGAATTTAATGACTCTAACCGCAGCTGTTCTGGGAGATTCCTGCAATTAGTATATCTGGATATTAAAATACTAAAAGCAATGGCGCTGCGACCTATTATTTTTAAATAATTCCTAAAAGTCAATTTTATATTTAATTTCGTATCTTAACAATGTAGACTTTTACAAGAAAGTCTGGCTAATGAAAGAAGATAATTGAGTTATTTGAAAAATTTTGAATGGCAACACAGAATGTCATTGAATTTCTTAGGTTAGTATGATCAATTGTGTTGATACTTCATGCAATTACTGATTTTTATTTCTATTACATATTTTTTCCGAATAGTTAAAAGGCATAATAGCCTAAACTTTGTTTGATTGATTTTTTTTCATTCTGATTTTGATTATTCCGAATAAAGTTGTGTTTTATAATAAATACAGTTTTAGTTTTCCATGCAATGCTAGTTATTTTAAGTATCAATAGTAAAAGACTAAATACGTATAGTAATAAAGTAAAATCAAGTATCAAGTTTAATCCACAAAATATATCATACTTTTAGGGATACCATACAATTTTTTTTTTTTGACTATGTCGCGCTTTTTCGTTATCTTCTTTCATTAGCCAAACTCTATAATATACTTTTACTTATGAACTATAGTTCAAAAATCCATAACAAGATGGCGCGATAATAAATTAATTAAATAATAATACGACGATAATATAAACTTTACAAAACGCTCAGTGTTTTGTTGGCCAGGCTAAAAAATAGATTTAAAAACAAAAGTAGGAATTATTTGATATTTTTATTTTGTAAGTTATTGGTGTCTCTTCAAACTTTAAAAAAAAAACACGTTTCAAACAAATAAAATTTAACTGTACTTACAGTACGAGATCGTCCCATATATCAGTTGGTCTCCAGGGCGGTCCCCGCTCCGCAACCAACCCATTGAAGAACATCGAGTCCAACAACCTAACAGCGAAAGGGCACTGCGATAGGCCGCGAGCACCCAAAAAACCCGCCTTGTGGAAAGTTAGTACGGGGGACGGATGTATTCGGATTATTGTCAAGCAGTGTCTGAAAGGAATAGAAAATACTTCTAAACTTCCTTAACAATTCAAACAAATTAAAAAAAATTGCAATATTTTGCAAAGACGGAAAAACTCTGGTTAATACTTCGCTGAAAGTTCGTTGAAAAATCGTTGAAAGTTGATCATAATCATATATCGTAACTAAATTTGTTCTAAAATTATTCATTGTATCCGATAGTGCTATATCAACATTTCAGATTCACTAATGTCGTAATGAATCTTTATGCAAAAAATTAATGTATATAATTACCTAATTTTATTCATTATGTATTTTTGTATTATATTTTATCCCTGAAACAAACTTGTCAATAAAATGGGCGGGCCACACCGCATGTACAATGGCAGTTGGACAAAGGTGAAAAGAGCGACCAGGAAAAAGAAAGAGAGGTTGCCCTCTTGCTCGGCGGGCTGACGAACTTGATGAAGTTGTTGTTGAAGATAGGCAGAAAAATGCTTAAGATAGGGAGAGATAGAGCCAACTGGAGAAGGCCTATACTTTAAAATAATCATAATTTAATTTGAGTCGATTTGTTTTGTTATTATTTAATTGTTTCATTCGTTAACTACAAATATTGTTACAAATATTCAGTGGAGGCTAGAATGTTGATTGAACGGCTAATTAAGCTGCGACATCTATACTGTAAGAGAATAAGTGTTACTCTACCACATCGGACGGCTTCCTTTCGTGGGAGTTTCAAATTTAGCGCGACGAAGTGTTGGAATGATATCCCTCCTCCGCTGAAGAGTCTTCAATTAAAGTCAAATTTTAGTCGCAGCTATAAGATTTATCTAATGACTCAACAAAAATCCCACAAAATCGAGTTTTGAATCCGCCCAAAACAATTATTCTTATTTTTAACTTTTAATAACACCTTTACACAAGGCGCAAACTAGCTGCTGTGGTCTCTGGCAGAATGACCAGCGCTGTGGAACAGTCTGCTCCTCAGCATAATGCTGAGCCAGGGCCAATTACAGCCACAGCACACACGCATTACACACTTGAAACGAACCGAATAGGAAAGGGGAATTTTTTTTCTTTGATTATTGTTACTTTGTGTATGTTTTTGTTAGTAATAAATGTTATGTCAAAATACTTTCATTACTTACCTATACCCTTGTAACAATTTCGCCAGCGTCCTCATGAACACTGCTCTGATTTCCTTATCAAGCATTTGAGGCAGGGACTGCACTGGCGGCGGTGGGGCGAACGCCGAGTCGGCAGACCGGAGCTCCGGCTGGAGGACCAAGGCGAGCGAGTCCTGGAGGGACGATAGGAGTTTGCCCTCTGGACGCGGGATGTTGACACTCGGTGGTATGTGGAGGGAGCCCGTATCGAGGTCCGCTATTATCACGTCTAACTGTAATTTAAAAATTATAATTTTTCAATAAAAGATTAGACATTTTTTTAAAGATTAGACATAATTTTTCATTATAACGTTAATGACAAAACGATTCTTAGGATTGAATCTCCTCCAGTAAAGGTCCTTGATGCGATTTAAGACTACAATATAAAAATAATATTAGAGGAACTTGGAATAATAAATTTAATTTATTTCTTCGAAAATAAAATCACGTGGCATTTTAATTTACAATTCGTCATTTCAGATTTCAATTAATTATTTTGCATAAAATATAAAATACTAATATTTCATTAATTCTCTTAACGAAATTTTAATCATAAAAATAGAATTTCTATAAAGTAATTCGCCCTTCTCACTCTCTCTCAATCGCTCTCTCCCTTTTCTTCGACAAAAACGCTGCATATCTTCGTGACGCTAATATTATTATTATTGCGTTTCATCCGTAAAAAAATTACCCTCATGCGCGTAAAGAACTTTCACTTCAAAAATTCCCCGGTAGGAGCATAAATTATTATTTTTAAATAACATGGGCAAAGGGTAGGAGGCTCACTTAAGTGTTACCGCCGCCCATAGACACTTAAATTAGGGAGGTGCGTTGCCGGCCTAAAATCCATTCATCCAGTTTCAAACTGTCACTGTCAGTATCGCAATTGAAAGTTACAGCTTTGACAATTTTTCTTTTACCTAAAAATTCTTAGTCATCCTTCTATGCCACCGACAAATATTTCAGTCAAATGTGACTTACCAATTCAGAAACCTCCTCCTTCAAACTGGAATGTACACCGATGAGAAACGGCGTGGGCGTGGCCAGTACTTCGGCCAGGCCAGCAGGTAGCAGCGGTATATACACGTGTGCGTATCTAAAGGGAAACATGAGGGCGGCTAACGCTCGACAAACGGCCGACAACCGTGCGCCTGCGAGCGATACCAATAAAACTTTGTGCTCGCTCATCACCGCACACCAGAGGGTGACCGAGTTGTGTATACCTGAAATATTAAAAAAAAATATTTTAGACATAGACATAACATTTACTAACGAAACACACACACAGAAACACGAAAAATAACAGGCACATTTTAAGTGTGTAATGTGTGTGTGTTGTGGTTGTGACTGGTCCTGGCTCAGCATTATGCTGTGGAGCAAACGTGTTCCACAGCGCTGGTTATACTGCCAGAGATCATAACAGTATATTTAACTAGCTGACCGGGCAAACGTCGTTTTGCCATATATATCATTTACAATAAAAAAATAGGGGTTGATCATAGAGGGGTGAAAGTTAGGGGTTTGTATGTATTTTTTAATGCTGTATCATAAAAAAATAAAAACAGAAAAAAATATCTAAAAATAAAAAAAATATTTAGGGGTGGACTACCCTTAACATTTAGGGGGATGAAAAATAGATGTTGTCCGATTCTCAGACATACCCAATATGCATACAAAATTTCATGAGAATCGGTCGAGCCGTTTTGGAGGAGTATGGCAACGAAAACTGTGACACGAGAATTTTATATATTAGATTTAAAATTAAATTTTTCGTCATTTAATTGTAATATTACCTACCTAAACCAGTTGGTACCTTTACCAGTGTCCTAGCCCTTTTTTTTGTGCCATGCCCCAATATATCAACTTACATAATTTTTAATAAAAAAAAAAATTTCGCTTAAAAAACTTAAATCATAGGTTTTAGGATAAAAATACTATAATAATAAGCCTCTTATCCTGAACTGTTTCTTTGACTTTTAGTTGACTCTTATCTTTAAGTTATAAAATATCTCTAAGTTCAGTGTGCCTCTTGGCAAAGGCCTCCTCTAACAATTTCCATTGTACTCTGTCTCTTGCAAGCCTTCTCCATTTTGAGCCTGCTGTTAATTTTAATTCGTCTTCCCATCTCTTGCTTTGTCTTCCTCTGTTCCTTTTCCCATCTCTAGGGTACCAGTCAGTTATGATGTTGCTCCAATTTTCTTGTTTATCACGTATCATGTGCCCAGTCGGATAAAAATACTAGTAAATTCTTAACAAAACGTCGAAATGAATAGCCCCCCATAAAAATCGAATTGCCCCTCTGTGGGGCATGTTCCCCACGTTGGGAAACACAGCTATATAGAGTTAGATAATTATGCTATTTGCCCTGAAGGGGTGAGAGGGAAGCTGAAAACTTAACTCCTTTTTCAAAACTTTCAATAGAAGTGGTCTTATGGGATTTAAGACTAAGTCTGGTGAAGGATAGAAAAGAATAGAGTGGTCTGGAGGAGACTAAGGAGGAACTAAGAAGTGACTAGGATTCATAATGTTTTATGATAATAAATATGTCAAATTATATATACTCATTCTACATACCTAATAACCTAAGTAACATATGAACGGAGGTATGTGTAACGGGCATAGGAGGTGCCGCAGGGGGCTGTAGCGCCTGTCTGTCGCCGGCCCCGATGCTGAATCGGACCTGAGGGCCCCCTGGAGGTGGGACTAGAACACATCCCACCAGGTTCCCGACTAACGTTTCTAGAGGAACGCCGAGGTTCTCTACCCATACTGTGTAGATTATGCCTAGGCAATTCTGAAATTAAATATGAAGAATTAATAAAAATATTATTTATGACGAGCTACTGGAAGGTTATATCATTATAATATGTTAAAAAACATCTGTTTGTGTAGAAGTTCTTTGGCGTAACAAGATAAAAATATTTTAAAATTTTAATCTTTCGCCTTACGTTTTGCGACACTAACAATAGAAAAAAGGTAATTAATACATTGAAAATTTTATCATAAAAAAATATTTCTACATAATTAAAGAAATGGACATTTTTATTTTCAAATGTTGACTATGCTAACTTCAGGGTGTCGGTTTTTTGTGACAGTGTGCGCGCGCATCGTTAAAATTTACTCTCATCATTTTTCCCTAACGCGCCAAAACAATTTTGGTTGGTGGACTCAGTTTCCGCACTTAGATTCTCAGTATGTCCGTTGTGCGTAACTGGCTAACTAAGCCAGCCTACCTCCTTCTAGAAGCACAGAAGTCTACTAGGCATTTCGCAAGCTTGACGTAGCGACCTCACTGCTCCGATGATTGTTTTAGTTATTTTGGGTATTTGTGTAAGAGCATTAGGGGGCCGTTCAAGTATTTTTTTTTTAAAGAGTACCGAGAGTTTTTTACGCCGGCTTTTTCCTTCGGCCTATACCCTCTGTCTTCTTTGCCGATGAGTAGGGATGCCTGCAGTTTCAAATTTAATGACGTGGAATAAGTGATACCTGTATCTTATGTTCCATAATAAACATTTTATTTTTTATTTATAATAGTACATAAACGTAATAATTTTTTGTAGGAATCCTCGAAAATGCATTTCGTTTTCAAGCATATACAATGTCTGGGTAATTAGTGTAAAATTTAAATAATTACTGTTGACGTAATCACCAAATAAGAAAACCAAAGACCATTTAGATCTTTACTTAAATTTTGTTTTAAGATTTGTTGTTAAAAACTAAGTAAACCTATAATTATTTCAGTAACATATTACATAGTCATTTAGCTGAATTTGTGTTATATAACAAAGAAATGTGTGTTATTATTGTCATATAATATATATTCACAAATAATGTTACCCGAAATGTGTCTATGTAGTCCTGTCTGGAGACGATGACAAGACACTTGGGCGCATACATGATGCTGTGGTGCGTTATATTCGCCACCGTACGCGACGATTCCAAAGATTCCTCGTCCTGAAACCAAACAATACATCCTTTAATATATTAGCTTTTAATATTTATTTAATTAAATTCTTCATTAAGAATCTTGACATAGGAACTCATATGCCGTAGTTCCTCATTTGACTCATTCTGTTTTTTGACGAAAAAAATCCGGCCGAAGTGGGGCGGTCGAGTCGGAGTAGGGATTAGAATATAAAGCACATGCGCAGGGGCATCGATCTCGACCACGACCTGGAGCCGTGGTCCATATGGTAGCGAACCATAGCCCAATGGATGAATGGCGTCCACAACCCACTTCAACAAGGCTAAACACCATCCCAACCCGTTGGTGCGTAAAAGCATCATTTATTACCCCTTCCGGACTAAAAAGGCCCGTTGGAGGCCCCGTCACGCCCTAACGGATCCAATCATAATAAGTCAAGAAAAGTCAAAATCAGATTAGGGTAAAAAACCGCCTTCACCAGAGAAGGCTTCCGTCCTGCCCTACAGGTGATTGAACAGGCAAAGAGACAAGAGACTCATCTGATGTAATACCGTCGCCCACAGACACCTAATGCCAGATGGCTAGCGAGTGTGTTGCCTGCCTTTTAAGAATTAGTACGCTCTTTTCTTGAAGGACTCTAAGTCGAATTGGTTCGGAAATATTTCAGGGGGCAGCTGGTTCCACATAGTGGCATTCGAAAGATACTTTTGTTTTTGAAATGAACTTCTTTACTTCTTTAGGCTTCTTTAGGCGTAAAAAATTTAAGGAACGTCACGAAGATGTGCAGCGTTTTTGTAGAAAGGGAGAGAGCTATTGAGACCGATTAAGAGAGAGTGAGAAGGGCGAATTACCTTATAGAAATTCTATTTTTAAGGACTATAAGTGGAATTGGTTCGGAAATACTTCAGGGGGCAGCTGGTGCTACAGTGGTGGCATTCGATATTATATATATATGTACTTTTTTTAATCCCAATCTCAATGTACTATTATATTATTATATTTAGTTTTTGGCAAAAAAAAATTACGTTTAAAATTACATCAGATTCGAGAAACTCATAATTGTAAAATAAAAGCCCAATTTAACAATTTACAAACTGGGTCGTTGTTCGCGTAAGAATGGAAAATGCCCGGGGCATTCAAATCAAGTCGGTGCTTACGTTGTACTAAAATAAAACTTCTTTGCATTATGTATGTCGAAGCTATAGCGCTGGTACCAGCTGCTATTGTCATTATAATTTAATGACATCAAAGTCAAATTACTTCAAAACTGTTGTGGTTTATTTGATTTGCCAATATTGTTAGATCTAGCAACATTGACAAATTAAATAAGCAAAAAAAAGCGAATAGCTATTCGTTTTAACAGTTTTGAATTAATTTGATTTGATGTCATTAAATTATAATGACAATGGCAGCTAACACTAACACCATTGCTTTTACATTAATAATAAGAATTATGATATTACTACAAACTATCAAATAGTCTGTGTTAATTTGTAGATCTATTAATATTGACGCACTTGACGTTTCGAGTGCTTTTAAAAAGATAGAAGATAGAATTTCAAATATTTTATTTAATCTTAAGACATTGATAGGACACAAATCAATAAATAACTTTAAGAAAATGTCAAAAATATATTCTAGTATCTAATTCTTTAGTATTCAGAGCTTAAAAGAACTTTTTACGCACCACACTTAAACGAACCACTTTATCTTACGCATTTTCCTTCTAAAAGCCTCCTTAGGGAGCAAGGTCAATTGAAAAACCTTCGCGCTATAAAACCTCTTTTCAAAAGAAAATGGTGTTTACTCTGTGCCTTTTTTTGAAAAGGGAACAATATTTTTATACAGCACATGAGTTATTTATAATTTCCGGCCTTTGACATATTTAGAGTAAAGTTTTTAGTCTTTATAAGTGAAGGTGTATTTTTCAAAGCATAACTTTTCAATAGAACAGGGGAACACATTTGAATTCTAAAATAAAATATATATACAGCGCAATATCTGCGGGCAATAACAGCGACAAGATCCGTTTCGTTTCCATTAAGTACGCAATCATGAGACACATTGATTTGATTTTGAAATATATGTAATAAATCTCTCATACTAGACATACTAAAATATCCTTAAACTGTTCCACAACTGAGCGTTTGTAAGGCAGTTTTTGCCGCGTAACACCAGTATGTGCCTGCTTTTTTTTGTTTTTTTAAAATGTATGATTTTGTATATTATGGTAACAAAGTGTAAATAAATATGTAGGACCAGCTGCCCACTGAAGTATTTCCGAACCAATTCGACCTAGGTTCCTTCAAGAAAACGTAGCAATTCTTAAAAGACGGGCAAGGAGCTCGCGAGCCCTCTGGCATTGAGAGAGTGTCCATGGGCGACAGTATCACGTAACATCAGATGAGCCTCCTGCCCTTTGCTTTTTGTTATATAAAAACGGCATGCAGAGCACTTGTTCTTTGTCTTATCAATTTTAAATCTTTATAAATAAAATTAGACAAAGCAGTATTTTATATAATTAAAATGATAAAAAATCAGTGGCGCTACAACCTTTTTTAGGCTGCGCATCAGATTTCTGTATCTGTTTCTCAATTTGTAAATCTAATAGGCAAGTAGGTGATGATCAGCCTCTTTGCCTGATACACGCCGGCCAGGCGGGTTTCCTCACGATGTATTCCTTCATCGTTCGAACGAATGTTAAATGCGCACATAGAAATAAAGTCCAATGGTGCACAGCCGCGGATCGACTCACTGACCTCAGGGATGAGAGTCGCACGTGGAAGCCACTAGCCCAAATTCTATATAATAATTACATAATATTAAAAGTTAGTGACTGAGATGTGGTCTTCAATATATTTATAGTGCGGGATGATGCGCAATAGCTCTTGGCAGGAGGTGGCCCAGGGCATGAAGATTCTCATTTCGGAGGCCTAGACAATTTCTGGGTCTCAGAGACATCGAAAGTGATATGAGTACAATATGCTTAATTCAGGATTGAAAATTGTATATTCTGATTCTTTATATTGGTTCGTTTCCGATTCCAGTTCGTTTTTATATGTACACCAACAACACGAATACAACCGCAAGGCACAGCTAGTTTAATATAAAAGTTGTGTAATGACACAACAGAGAATGGTGCAATTTAGACCCCAGAGCAACGGCGCCGCCGGAATTCATTACTACCCCGAGTAAAGAAACGCTGAATATTTTAGTTTATAGTACAATGCACTGTGTAGGGGCAACAAATTGGAGCGAGTTTTAAATTTCACACTTCAATTTACTAGTACATTTTAATTTGCGTAGATGTAGGGTCACTCTGCATCTTCTACAGCTGAGTTTCACCATCGGACGTCGAAGCTGAACTGGGCGTTTTTATGGCAGTTTTTGCCTACACCACCGCGATGTGAACCAGCTGCCCACTAAAGTATTTCCGAACCAATCCTACTTAGGGCCCTTCAAGAAAAGAGCGTACCAATTCTTAAAAGGCAGGCTATGCACTCGCGAACACACTTGGGAGTGTTCATGGGCGACGGTATCACATAACATCAGATGAGCCTCTTGCACATTTGAGATTTGTTTTATATATTTGTTATATTTGATGAAATCTCATTAAAGATAAGTATCAGTCTTCCGTGACACACAGCGCATTGTGGGTTTTTTTTTAATGAAAAAACATCGCGAGGAAAAGGACTTTGGTAAGGTGGTGGTTTGCACTGTAGTTATTTTTATTGAACTAGAAAATGTTTCCTAGAAATAATACCTATACACGGCAAAACGTTTTCCGGTTCAGCTAGTAAAATAATACATTTAAGCCCCAAACATACACCAAGTATAAAACGTTCCTACGACGATTCTATGCAAATCAAGTCGCTACTTATAATTCGCGACACGACGTCATCTGCCCGCTTGAGCGGTCTGCCAGGCGCATTGTTTTTATGGTGATTCAATAACGGTACATATCACCATCAACACAGCTACTTGCCACTTTAATAACACGTGCAATAAATTACATAACAGCTTATTAACAGAGTAAAAAAGTAACGGCTTTAAAGCCGATTTTTAGATTTATATCGTCAGAAAATAATCTTATTACAATAAAGTTCGGTGGCGCCTGTTGTATGTTCAAATATACGTTAAATGAAACACTTTGTTTGAAGCTGGGTAACAACTGGCTTTAATTGTTTAAAACATGAGCTTATAACTAAGATAACATTAGGCGTAGTGTGGTTGCGACGCTGGATTAAAAAAACTAACTTGACTTAGTGAAGAGACATTGGGAGACATTTCTCAAAAATCTTTTAAAGAAGTTATCAAGCCGAATAGCGTAATGCGTAGCTAGTAATGGGACGTAATGTCAGTAATTACTAGGGTACTTTATAATAAAGTATTGTACGTTGTTTCATAAAAAAACTATTTTATAAAAAGTTGTACAGTATAGTTTATGACAAATACACGAAAACTCGCATGATGATTCTTTAGTCGTAAATATTTTTCCGTTAAACGGAATTTATCGATTGGCGCTGAATGAGATTGTAAAGATGCTGTGCAATTGTTTAGTCGAGATACTAATTTAATACTAACTAAACTAAATATTACTTTAATTGCAAAATAAAGGTGGCAACCATACTAATGACATCTCCAAGTGTTTATCACGCTGTCTCCGCCGTACATACTGGCCCGAGAAAATCTCCAACTTTGACCCGAAACCCCCGGATTAGACAGCAGATCAAGCGACGTAAATGAAACTGGATAGGTCATACACTTCACACATAATCCAATAATATCCCCACGCAGGCGCTTGATTGGAACCCGCAAGGAAAGCGGAAGCGTGGCAAACAAACTTGGCCACATACAGTTGCAGATGAGGCTAAGACTTGGAGCAAGTTAAAATAGGCAGTTCATGACCGAATGCGATGGAGGCTCACTGGGGGCAGGCTCTGCCCGTTCCAAGGGTTCATTAAGTCATTGTAGATATACCTATAATATAAGTCATTTAACTATATATGTTAATCCGAATAAAATGAGATTTGATAAACGTTCAAGCCATTCGATAACATCTTCATCAATTTAATTTTTCTTTCTTCTTTATTTATCAGCAATCGACTTCACTTAGTCATAATCTGATGTGTTCTCTTTATGGATTATACTGTGTGGCTAATGTTCCAGGGAACATCATGCCAGATTCTATCACTAGTCCCGTGTTAGAATTTGTTTTCTTTTAAGTCTGATTGCATCTCCATTACTATCTAGAAGGGTTTTAGCTAGTATATTGCTATGTTCCTTAAGCCTGTTCATGTATCTTGTACTACGAGAATTGAGTGTTTCTTGTATAGTTTCCATTTCTAGGTGTTCGTGGATTTCAGTGTTTCTAACAAACCAAGCAGCAAAATCAATTTAATTATGCAATATTATATTTCACGTGAAATCGGTAAGTCGGCATTATTTCCAAAAGTAAATATCATGTAGTTATGTTTAAAATAAATCGCTGATGTCATAACACAGATGATTCTCACAGCTTGTGAGAATTATGCTAACCAAATGGTATCATAAATCGGTAATAGCAATTCGATTCACGCTATTGCAAATAAACTTAGTTAAATTTTAGACCTATTTCATAGTTTTTATTGTAAATATGTATAAAAAACCAATGGCGCTACGACCTTTTAGGTCTTGACCTCAAATGAGTATGTTTTCTTTTATTTTTGTATTTTCTTTTGTTCAAGTAGGTGATCAGCCTTCTGTTCCTGAAATACGCCGTCGACTTTTTGGGTCTAAGGAATGCCGGTTCCCTCACGATGTTTTACTTCACCGTACTAGTACGCACATAGACAGAAAGCCCATTGGTGCACAGCCGGAGTTCGAACTTACGTCTTCGCATCAGAGTCACAAAACTGCTCTAAACTGCTATTTTTTTACATAGGACCCCCGCAGCGTAACAGTTACCCGCTCAGGTAGATCTGTGGCCGAGAAGCTCGGCGGCAGCGGAGAGTCAAATCTCTCTTTGGGAGCGTTCAAGTATTACGTCACGCAATTTTTGGAGATTATTGGACCCCCCCCCATGTAACGCGCCGTAACGTTTTTTTGTACCCAAGTATAGTCAAACGTAACGTGACCACCTTGTGACTCATTATACCATAAGTTACCACTATGTGGTGTAAATTACAGGAAAGTCGAAAATAATATTAACAATAACGCGTAATTCAATCCCCGCCCCGCATCGTAACGTTTTACAAAAGGACCCCCCCAAAATTCGTTACGTAATACTTGAACGCTCCCTTTCCTAAAAAGAGACACTATTTGCTTTAACTAGGTCTGGTGGAGTTGGCGTGTCCCGATGGGCCCGTGTTCTTTCCACTATTAAGCAGCTATTAAGTAAGTGCCGGTAGTGGTCCATGCTCATAAGACCCCTTTCACCCTTGGCCTTCGTTCGCTTTATTTCGTTGTTAGCGGCTCATCCTAGATTCACATGGATTGACATTTATTTTTTAAACATTTTTGAAGATATTGATATGTTCTTTAATATTGTGCAACATTATTTTTTCTATCATCAATAGTTTTCGCAGCGCATGCGATATTTTAGGCATTTTTGACACCTGGGGTAACATTATTGTAGTTTTAGTAGTGATCCTTATTTTTTTCTTGCAATTAAAATAGCCTATATTAATCAGTGATAATGTAGCATTCAGATGGTGAAATCGGTCCAGTACTTTTTGATCCATTTCATTACAAACATACATACAAATCTTTCCTCTTTATAATATTAAGTATAGATAGTATAGATAAGGCATATAATGTTCCTTTTGAAAAATCGGCTAGAGACCGCTTGGTAACATTCAAATCTCATAATACGAATAATAAAGCACAAAAAAACTTAACACCGAAAACTTCTATACTATAATAAATCTATTTAAAAAATAAAATGGTATTTCATTCATACCACATGTTCGTGTCAATGTCCGATCCAAGCGTTTACGATCTTTTTATTAGCTTCCTACTATCGCCATTCTTGAACGATCTATTTTGCTTACATTTTTGTTTTCACGCATTTGGGTCAATAAAGTTATTTTAAATATAGATTGAAGATATTGCAGCGTTTGTTTGTATTGTCTACGTAACAATTTATTTTTTCAAAATATTTTTATTTTATTGACATGGTTAAAAAGATGCCCACTAGAAACCTGGGAAGATGAAATAATAGAGATAGCGATAGATTAGGAAACAGTGGAAATGAGAGACAGAAATCAGAGAATTTGGAGGAGGCCTTCACTTAGTCGGAGGTCGCGTCCTAATATTAAATATATTACTTATTATATTATTTTAACTCTCAATAACTTCTGCCCTTTTTTATCTTGATCAATGATATTTCATACGTCGACCTAATATCCTCTTACTTCGGTATTAAGTTGTTAAAAAGTATAGGAATCATTACAACAATATACATACTAATTAAATTATATAAATATAAACTACTAAAAATTACAAGGAAGCTACAGAAATACTTCTTGTGGTTTGAGGTGAAACGCGTGAACATGTGTTCTCAAATGTATCAATTGTTCTTTTATTGTACCTCAGAACAGCTCACCTACAACACAGGAATATCCTAGTGTGGTATCGCTGTAAAATAAAGCTTTCGAATAAGGTTTAATTTAATTACAAAAGCGTTAGAAAAACTAACAAAAGCAATAAAAACAGACGACTCGCGCCCTAATTACATAGAACTGAATAATTCAACACACTACAGTGAATGTCTGACGCCTCGGAACATACTCAAAGCTGGTAAGCGAATCACTTGAATGTATTACTTTTATCTAGCTTTTAGACTCTTGGGACACATCAAGATTCTATCCGTATATAAACTCCAACTCTTTTTCTGCGGGTATTTGCACTCAGCAATGTTGGCCTAGTGGCAACAGCGTGCGACTCTCATACCTGAGGTCGTGGGTTCGATACCCGGCTGTGCACCAATGGACTTTCTATGTACGCATTTAACATTTCCTCAGACGGTGAAGGAAAACATCGTGAGGAAACCGATATGTCTTAGACCCAAAAAGTCGACGGCGTGTGTCAGGCACTGGAGGCTGATCACCTACTTGCCTATTAGATTCAAAAATGATCATGAAACAGATTCAGAAATCTGAGGCTATGACCTAAAGAGGTTGTAGCGTCACTGTTTTTTTTTTACATACTGTTTTATGGTAAATCTAATTTAGAATACACCTTGTATACAATGAATACAATGTTGAGACTGATTTTCTTCGAATAAATTACTCTACAGTCTACATCATTCCAATTAAAAAACATATTCTAAGCGTCTAATAATTAATACATGTTGTATCAGAATCATTAATTCAAAGATGAGTAATAGTAAGAGATAATAAGGACGCATCATACGTATATAATTTTTTTTAAAAACTTAAATGTTAAGCGAGAGATCATTACATATGTAACAATAACTACAATATAAAGGTTATATTTATTTAGATACTGCACGAGACACAAAATCGTCCCAGTTACCATATAACCCGAAGCAGGCAAACTCTTCAGAATATCATAAGCTTTTTCTGTTCCTCAAGAGATTGTTCGTCGAACAGAATTTTTTCATGAAGAGGTAATCGACGAAACTAAAGTATATTTTAAGGCTGAAGACTACTACTATAAAAATGGTATTGTATGACCGCTATAATCGTTGTATCGCTTTCGAAGGCCTAGGATTAATGAAATCAAATTCTATCAAATAAACATTGTTTCTATGTTAGCCTACGAACTTTTCAGCCCACTTAATATCATAGCATTGAATTAGCATTATTATTTGTTGTACGTAAGTCGTAAATATAGTAAAAATAATATCAGCTATTATTCAAATCCTCTTGATTCAGGATCCATACCGAATCAACAGGCTAAGCAAAGAAGACTTTGTGAGCAAGGATTTTTCGAAGCCGTAACAAATTTGCCTATCTTAATATATATAAATTACGTGTCACGTTGTTTGTCCGCTATGGACTCCTAAACTACCGAACCGATATCAATCAAATTTGCACACCGTGTGTAGTTTGATCCAACTTAAAAGATAGGATAGCTTACATCACAATTTATACCCGCAATATTATTTTATTGCAAAATATTTGTGTATTATTTGATAGTCACAATTCTAACAGATGGCGCTGTGTTGAAAGTACCAACGTTTCACATAAGCTACAATTTAATGGCATAACCACCAAAAAAGCATGGTGGTCCCCATGACTGGTGTTCTACCGTTTCCTTTGAATAGTTTACCACTATGTGATATAACAAAAACCTTAGCCACAGCAACGCTTGGCCGGTCTGCTAGTATGACTATATAATTCTTCTCATATCACTTGATATGATTAAGGTTTGCAAACCAAAATTGTCGACAAAACATTCCAAGATGTCCCCGTACGTACGTAAATTAGATGAGGCCATTCACCCAATCGTGATACGCCATCACGCAACCACATCAATTCGGAAACAGAATTCAGAAACGCAATCTGGTAAAGCAATCTGCCATCGTGGTCTTGTTAAAGTAATTAACGAACACAGATCCAAAACCTTTTACTACAACGATAAAACTCAAAATCCTTTATCACGTAACAGTACATAAGTATCTTATACTGTATACAATTTTGGAACTTTGTTAAATACCTTATCATTTCGCTGAGGGCGTGTCAGTAATGATACAAGAATATTGCCATGTTTAATTGTAAAAACATTGGTATAAATGAATAGGCTGTATAAACACTGTGTGTGTACTGTGTACCGAGGTGCCCCTTAGTAGATTTTTGGTGATTTTGTACTCTCAGTTTGTTGATGTTTCAGCAATAATAAATATTTAAAAAAAACCTCATTCACGAGTGCTGTTACACACTGAGCAGACCACACATTTGAATCATTGAACGTGATTTAAGAACAAATTTTAACGACGACGTTTATCGATACAAGAAAAAAATGAAATGTTGACGTTCATTTGTCTATTAGAGTATGTCTTGTCACCGACAAGCGACACAATCTTTGGATCAATCAAAAACGAAACAGATCAATGCATCTTTTATTTTCTCAGGATTCAGAAACAAACATTTCTGTACAATGGACTACGGTGTTTGCAGAACCTAATTCTTGGTATCAAACGAAGTAAAGCAACATATAATAACAACAAATATTCTTAATATATGATCGGCGTCAATTCTATATTTCTCGTGATTTTTTTTGAAATAGACAAGTAAGTGCCTTCTTTTGACATACGCCGTTGATTTTTGGATCTAATGCCATCTTACATTCGATGTTCTTCTTCCGAGCAAGTGGTGCACATAGAACTTCATTGATTCAGCAGGGGTTCGAACCTATGATGATAGATGGTAGTCGGACGCTCAAGTAGGCCAACACTGCTCTTTGATTACTTAGACACGGGAAAAGATTTTATCAGACTAACTTAAATTATCAAATATTACAATTATTGTTTATGCCGGCCGTCGAAAAACACGAAATCTCGAGAGATTTACTAAATTAAATATTATAAAATAGTCTTAAATGTGTACTTCCTATCAGCTACCTACTCGTATGTAACTTATTAATACACCTTACGATTTTTTTTTGAAATTTGAAGAATTCAATCCGTTTACACAGGATCGACACGACACGTCAAAAGTGGTCAAAAAACATATGTTATCAACCAGTTATTGAACCTGTTTACGATGTAATTACGCTTTCCTTATGCACGAGTTAATTTCTCTGACATGGGGTTATTCAACGGGTGTCATGTTTTTTTTATTAGGGGCCGTTCAAGTAAGCACTATAGGGGGGTATTACGACACGCAATTTTTGGAGATTATTGACACCCCCTCATGTAACGCACCGTAACGTTTTTCTGTACCCAAGTATAGTATAGTAAAAAAAACGTTTCGTGACCACCTAGTGACTCTTTATACATAAAAATTACCATTATGTAGTGTAAAGTACTGGAAAGTCGAAAATAATATTAACAATAACGCGTAATTTAATCCCCGCCCCGTATCGTAACGTTTTACAAAAGGAGGGGCAGGGGGGATAAATTGCAGTAAATGCTTAATGCTTACGGCCGGCTTTGTAAAAATGGTACGCTCTTATCTTGAAGGTCCCTAAGTCGAATTGGTTCTGAAATACTTCAGTGGGCAGCTAGTTCCACATAGTGCGCGTAAAAAACTGCCGTAAACTGTTACACATTTCAACAGTAAGAGATGAAAGAATAGATAGATAGATTTGAATTTTATTTTAACGATGCAATTTCGTATAGTTTAGACTTTAGAGTAATCACATTGCGCTTCTTAGATTATCTGTACAAATGTTAGTTACATTTCTATTTTAATAATAGGGTTAGAGCCTAGAGGTATGCAATTTCAATGCAAAATATATTAGTAAATGTCAGGAACTAATATCCCAAAGCCAAAGGTCAAAAGGTCCGTGAAAATACGGACCTATATATAATCCCTATGTTTGAGTTTAATTCCACTATGTGGAACCAGCTGCCCACTGAAGTATTTGCGAATCAATTCGACTTAGGGTTCTTCAAGAAAAGAGCGAGCCCTCTGGCATTGAGAGTGTCCATGGGCGGCGGTATCACTTAACATCAGGTGAGCCTCCTGCCCGTTTGCCCCCCGTTCTATAAAAAAAATTAAAATAATAATAATGTAGACGAATACAATCAAAATATTTTTCAATTCGTTTTTAACATTGATACCTTACAATAGAGGGTACAACTAAAAAAATAACTTGAATGCCTCTAAAAATCGATTTAATTAAAAACTTATGATTTAATTGCCTTCTTTCAAGCTCAGTAAAAATGCATTAAAAACAAAAGCTAGTTAAGAAAAGCAAATCGCACGGTTCCATGATAATGACAATTGTCGTATCCCCTCTTTTGTTCGGAAACAGACAGACTATGACAGATTCGCATTATCTCGTACTAAAAGAATATCGGTGGAAGCTTTCAGGGACAGATTGCAGCAAAAAATACAAAATACATTTAGTATGTGTTTTTTATTACGTAACGTATTTT